CACCATGCTCTCTTGGACATGCAGGTCTTCCTTCTTTGCCTAGTAACAATATTATTAGGGTCCAGAAGTAAGGACAAATAGTTATAAATGTGTGCATGGCTCTATATTGACACAAGTTGGAACTTGTGGAACTCTAGGACAGCCATCTTGTGGTCACATGATTCCCTTTCTAGCTCTTCTAGAATGGTAAAACAATGAGAGTTAGTTGGGGGTTCTGAAAAGGAAACCTTGGGCACCTGAGAAAGGAGGCTGTAGCCCAGGAGTCCAGGGGACCAAAGTTTTGGTGAAAGACAGCCTCACACAGATAGCTTCAACTGGTTGAGAGCCACTGGACCCAGCTTTGCTGCAGTTTCTTCTTCTGCAACATCCCCTTACAGTCCCCTCTCCAGTTATCTTTCTCTTTTCAACAGACCCCACCACATCCACCATCACTTCTTTCTGGCTTCCCATCAGTGTACCTGGTAGTCCTTTCTGCTCCTGCTTCTTCTCTCTCCTATCTCAGCTGAAAGTTATATCACAACCCTTCTCCAGGCATCATACTGTTCCTTCCCTCTACTTTCCAGATAGTACTGCTAAGTTACCTTTCTGTCTCCTACTCGAACCTGTATCATTGGCATTCATTGGCCAATGTGTGGCTAGGAAAAGGGGAAAGGACACTTCTCTGTTGTGTTCCCTAACCTTCATGCATGACTTGGGGCTATTCTTGCAGATCAGCTTCTATTCAACTTTGCAGATGGACTACCGGTCATGCTTCAACAAATGGCAGCCATATGCGGTTCATGAGCAGCACCCTGGCCACCTCTAACACAATACCAGAGTAGGCTTCGGGATCTTTTTTTTTTTTACATAAAAAATGTTTAAAATCCTATTTTGTCCATTTGCACCCAACCCTGATCCTAACCCTATTCAGCAATGCAGGCTAAAGAGGTGCTAAATTTCACTGAACTTACTTTGGAGCTGAGTAAAACTCAAATGGGTAAGATAATACTTTGTTTACATTGGATCAACTGTTGCAGTAATAACAGGGCCAATATTGACATCTAAGCATTTGAAATACTCTCAGCCTTTTGGGGGTTGTTAGGACTGTTGAACCTGAGTGCAGAAGGTCTGTTTGCTGCTAGAACTACCCCCAGAAGACCATCATCAAAGATATTTAGCATTGCCCATTTGGGCCATCTCAGTTTGGTCCTGTTTAGTTGGGATGACAGTGAAGGAATGTAGACAAAGCCTATTTTACGCTTGGCTTAGCTTAAGGCTGCTTGGAGACTCTGGTTTTTTTCTCCCTAAGCCAGAGTACTTAGGGGCTGGAGGCGGGAGGCATTCCTGGGTTGGTTAGTTAAATGGATGCAGAGTGGAAGCAATGGGAGAGTCAAAAACAGTGGCTATCCACACATTTGCCTGTGTAGTCCTTCCACTTCTTGGGTGTTACGAGCTAACCGGGTCACTGACTGCACTGCACACACTGCAACATTTTGTCAAGTCCCAGTTGTTGCTTTTGATTGTAAGCCCTTGGCGTATCTACCAAGAATTCTTTCCTTTTAAAGCAGGTGGTTATTCTCTTTTAGAGTTTAAGCAGACTCTGCTTGGCCTGAGTTAAATGAATTTGGAAAACACTTTTAAAAGGCATTACGAGACTTTATATAAGAACATAGTTTCTGTTCCTATGGATTGCTTGGATTACATGGGATGCATAGAGAAACGCTTAACTAACGCTAATACGTCTCTTACTCAGTAGCTTTTTGGGTTGCTAAGACAAGTCTGAAGATTGGTCTGCATCAGGTTGCCTGCAGATGCTTTTACAGGTTCCACTGTTTCTGTACTGCTTCACAGTCCAGATCGACTCTCCCATTTAATCTATGCCCTACATTGCGTTTGCAAATAGTCTGCATGAATTTTTCAATAGATAATCTTTGGTATGGATGAATTATGCAACATAAGACTTCAGCTAGTTGATAGGTCTTGAGGCAACAAAACCTATGTGTTTGCAGTAATGTCCTCCGTCATCATTACAGATGTAACATTTCCTCAAATATTGAATCTAGGGGTGTAGAGAAAGATCATGTCTTCTCCTAGGTTTGACAAAAGGGAATTTGAGAGAAAATTAAATATAACCAGTACCTTCTTTCTTAGGAGATCTAAATCAACCATACTGCTTTAACAATATAAATGGATCATTTATATTCACATAGAAAACACTTATATATAAAACTGGTCTATTTGACACAGTAATGAAAAAGGCAGAGGAAATATGTTTTTATTTGATTGTTTTCCCAAGTTGCCTTTTAGGGAAAAAAATTCCCCTAAGAATGCTTATATAGATATAAAAAAATCCAGTACATTTTTACTCAGAAGTAGGATCTAGTTTGTTTAGTGGAATTTTCTCTCAGGCAAGAACATCCAGAATGACATGCTCAAAAATATAAATTCCTCATCAGCATAATTTTATACACCGTTACCTGAGAGTAAGCCCTATTAATCTCAGTAGAACTTACTTTTGAGTATATATACATAGGATCATGCTACGGATCAAGACTGTATCCAATATTAAAGGGGGAGAGGAGAATGAGCTATAAACTACCGTATCCTTGCGTTACCTAAGCACATTTTTATGCTGATTTTATCATCTGAGTAGTGGGGAGTGGGGAATAAAAGTTGAAAAGAGATGCCTCAAATTTTGTAGAAACATTTTGACAGTTTCATACAGTCACAATATTAAGGACTAGTAGCATATTTAGTATTTGATTAAATGTTAGAACATTGCGAATATTACACTCTATTGTGTTCACAGGAATTATTCCCTGATGCTGTAGATTGCCTTATATAAAAGTCTTCATAGTGCACATTTCAAATAAGTAAAATCTTGTAAAATCTTGAAAAAGCATTTTGTTCACTCCAACTATTTCAGAAAAGTTCTTTTTCAGTGTTCCGTAAGCATTACAAATACATGAATTTGGTGGGCAAATTCATCCTGGGTGTGCTTTTTCTGGTATCTCCCTGCATCCACCCACAGCTCAAGGAATCTTTTTGCAGGCCTTCACATCTCTACCATTATGATATAATGTGGGAAAGTACTTTAAAAATCACCCTTCCAATTTTTGAGGGGTGATGGGGGACTCATGAGATGTTAAGGTCTTGCATTGCCTTCAGGTATAGTTGGGAGTGGCAGTTCTGCATGTTTTGCCAGTAAACATCCACAAAATTGATAAATTTGTACAGACAGTGCACCCTAGTTTTACACTGTCAGCTGGGAATTGGAGTTCAACATCTGTGTATAGTTTTCTGCTGCCCGTCATGTGAAATCCTCCATTTGAAGAGCATCTGTGTTTCCTGGACTAGTTCACAAAGCTGAATGTAATGGTGGAGCTGGTTCTATATTTTTGCAGAGAGAAGTGTGTCATTAGCACTAAGTCTTCCCTTCTACGGTGTTAAAAAACAAAAGCAAAGTAGCTTGCAGCAGCTTGGCAACTGACGTGAACTTTTTATTTTTGTGGTGAGGCTTTGGAAGCAGAGCAATTCTCCTTGCTTCCCATGTCTTCCTGTAATGGGCTCGTCCGGTAATGGGCTCTCCCCATGCTTTATGGCTGTTTCTCTCAGAGTAGGGAGCTGTTGGGTCTCTATTGTAAATTCATGAGCTAAGTTACTAGGATTTGTTTGCTGAGAGAGTTTCCAGATGAGGTTTTGGTTGTGCAATCACCTCGCCTCATTTGTAGAAGTTGACCAGAGCAATGGTCCGGACATTGTCGTCATCCATGCATACCCCTCCTATGTTTTCCCACCACTATTTTTCTTACCCCAGAGGGTGTTTTTAGTTGAAGGCCTCCTATCTACTCCTACATTAAAAGATTTTGTACTGTAAGAAAATAGCAGAAGCAGTGAGAAAAAACAGGATTAGGAACAGAAGCTGTTGTTGTCTGGACATCCCATCAAATTTTGTGAATGAGGCAGAGCAATGAAGTGCTAAAAACCTTGGCAAAAAACACCCAGGAAGTCTGTTAAGGAGGGAAAGGTGAATTAGCTGCACATTGTCTTTTGAGCCATTGGCCTAGAAACACACTAAGAGCCTAACCTCCAACTGTGGGGTAACTGAGCAACATGCGTTTTACTGTTTGGATGTGGCCTTATGAAGTCAGGCAGATAGCGCGTTCTTGGGCCTTTCTAATTTATTGAAAAAAATGCTTAGGTAGCAAGATCCTGGTTCACTTTTCACAAACGGGTCCCTGGAGTACAATGTTATCAAGTCTGTTTCAGCAGCAGCGGTAGGCTGGTGGTGACTCATGGATTTGGATGACCAGCTGTGAGTTTAAATGGCTTTTCCTTTTAAAATGATGTAATCAGCTCAGGTTCACAGCTTTTCAAGTTGCGCTATGCACAGTAGCTTAGGAAACTGGGATGACTTTTTGAGGCATTATTTTCTATCGAGTGCCATAGGAGGCTATCAGAGCAATTCAGGAGGGAATATATAATACTACCAGTTCATGGGGGAATATTGTCTGCTGCTGCTACCACAGGGAAGCAAAAGGTCTCCCCCCAGCACACACACACCCCATTTACTACTGTTTTGAGTTGGAAAAATCCTCTCCTGTTAAACAGGACAGGAGAAACAGCATGTATAGCAAAAGTTGGATGTTTGGCTATTGTGTGCCTCCCAAGGCATTGTTTATTGCACATCTTCTCCTACTGGCTCAGGACAGTTAGCATCTTTTCATTACCTGACTCTCTGGGCACCATTCATGTGTGAGTAGAGAGAAGACTGTGGAATGGCTTCCATAGGATGTGGCCTGCACATGCTTTTCAAGCAGAGCTCTTTTACCCTTTGTATAGGGCAATCCAGCTGCTCAATCCTCCTTTGCTTTCATCTCCTGCTACCACCCTCGTGTGTAAGCAGGGTGTGTTTAAAGCAGGATCAGGCCCACATGCAGGTCCTAAGGACAAGCAGATGGCTGGATCATTCTATGCAAAGAACTGTTTGAGATAAAATATTAGCTGTAATAAAGTGATTGATCATGGCTGTGGCTCACCCAGCACATTAACCATGAGGACCAGGGGCATGGCTCTGTCTTCTGCCCTCTGTACATGCACAGATGTTGAAAAAGCTGTGGGAGCGTTTTGGTATTAAGATATTTGGCCAGTGCTCCTTCTGTACCCTGCCTGGGAATTCAAAACACAGACATGGAAAGTGAATTTGTCAGACTGTTCATTGCATCAGGTCTTCCTATTTTATTTCTATAACAAAGAAATGGGAATAAAACTCATGCATTCATTCTCGAATGTCATGGTGCTGTGCTATTCATTAAATCTGAGATTTCTGGTCTCCTTGAAACAGTTTACATCCAACACTGAAAGATGACAATTCGTTATCATAATTTGTATACATTAGATTTTCTCAACACAATGGCAATTTGGGATTTATCCTTGCTTGTAATGTACATTTCAGCTAACACAGCACCTAATTTATTTTTGTTATTGTGTTTCTGTTTCATGACACTGCAAAGTAAAGAGTTCAGCCTGAGAACATGGCACAGCTATTTCGATGGATCAGATATTGTTGGCACCACCTGATTTCTGCAGAGGGCAAGCGCTGTAGCAAAACCAGGATTAGACTCACCTCTCCAGGACATGAAAGTTTGCAGGAGGCAGCCAAGAAAATTGATAATCAGAGGACTGTCATACCATGTGTGGAGCATTTTAAGGAAGAATATGAGAAAGTCTCTAAGCTGTATATGAACAACAAAATACGGACTACAAAGTACAGGTTATGGAACTTTATACCAAAGAACTTATTTGAACAATTTCACAGGTAAAGCATGCTTCCATGAAAATAGGTAGGATTAGTTCCAGCTTCCACACTAATAGCTGTGCCAGTCTGTTGCAGCAGCAACAGCAAAGAGTCCAAATGACAAAAATATTTTGGCATTAGATGCATGGAGTGTCATTCTTAGTTGGCAGGTGCGTGGATGTAGAATAGCAAGGTTAAATGGCAATGAAATGTGACAGTTTAGTCTTATCAATTCAATTAAGCTTAAAAGTATGCAAAAGAAGCACAGGGAACATTCACAGCAGCAGTCATTGGTAATAGCACAATCACAGTTTACCTTTGCTCGCAGGCCACCTCCTCCGCCTCTGTCTCCACCTCCTCCTCGCACTGGCGCCACTCTTTCTCCTGGGGACCACAGCAGGACAGGGAAGCCCCTCAAACATCCTCAGGCAATGGTGGCATTTGGAGCTGATGGCTTCAGAGGTGTTGAGCTGTGTGATGCCTGCCTCCTGACTGCTGGAAAGACTGAGAAGTCTTGTTTCCACGTGCCAGCAGAATCCTGACTTTTGTAGCTCCACAGAAGGTACAAAGGGTGGCACATCCATCCTGGCGTTGGAATCATCATCAGACTTCCCAAAACAGCAAGAGATCTGCATTTGTGCTTTCACAAGCAAACTGCCATGAGAGCCACTCCCACATTTGGGACATCCATCCCACTGAGTTTGCTGAATGGGTATTGTGATACTAAGTGGGATGTGCATCTGCAACCAGGCCTACTAGTGTGACTCGTTGCCAGCAACTGCAGTTGGACTGGAGTCTACCTATTGCAATATTTTGCTGAACACGTTAGCCAACCTACTTGCTAACCCTAGTAGGTTAGCAAGAGATCCTTTTTGATTGTGTAAAGCTGCAATTTTAGAGCAACCAGACACTGAATGTTTCTACTGTAGTAACTGCTTTGTGCACTATTCATATGCCTGGTTCCATTTGGGAACCATCACTGTCTCGATAGATTAGGGCAGGCTTTCCAAAACTACAACCACTTCTGTTTCCTTGCCCAATATAAGAAATAGTTTGCAAGGAGATACATTTACATGGTCATTTAGGGAGATTTAGACATGGCAAACATCCAAATTGTTTTCTCTTTGAGTGCATGGTTAAATAGCAGTTCTAGTTACATGAACTGTTGCATCCAAAAGTGTCAATCTATTCAGTATTTTATTAATATATTAATAATATATTTCCTGTATTAATACAGGAAATGTCTTTCTGGAGCAAGTTCACTCAAGGTGGCATACAAAATAGTGTATGAGAATACAATAATATAATATTATATAATATAACAACGTTTTGAAAAACAAAGAATACAGCCCTCAAACCCATATATGAAATAATAATAATAATTAGTCAATCTAAAAACAAGTTCCAATCCTAAATTGTTTCTCAGATGGACCCAAACGTGCAGACCATTTTAGTGAAATAGAGTACAAATATTTTGCCAGCCCTTTCGATCACAGGACTGGCATTCCAGTACAGAATACAGTACATTATTTTTGTAAGCGATCCTGCAGCTTGTGCAAAGAACAGGGTAGAAATGTTTAAATTAAATTAAATTAAATTTATGGCAAGTTGTCTCCTGACTCCTGCTTGGCTACTTCACATCATTTGTGGTAAGTTTATTGTAATTTGTGAACCTTAAGACAGGCCACTTTCATAAACATGCTTAGCCACGCCAACTTTTAGGAGCAACCAACTGAAATGGTCAGGCAGCATGTGCTAGCTCAGCCAGGTTTTCCCCAGAACCCTGGCTTATTGTTACATCCAGAAAAGACCAGCTTTAGCATGACATTCTGGTTTGCATCCAATAATTGTTGTTGTGCTCAACACATATGTGCTGGTGAGCAAGCCTTAGGCTCAGATTATAGCTTTAAATATAACGTAATCAAACACTCTTTGGGCGTAATCCTATTATAATCATCACAAGCCAAGATGCAGCATCCTACCAGCAGAGGCCTCCCTGCACGCCCTACATTCTTTGCTTTTTCGCCCACCTAGCCATGGCTTTTTGGCCTGTCTAGTCTCCCCCCACCCCACCCCACCCCACCCCACTTTATCCCATCCAAGGTTGCTTTTCCCACCTCAGCTCTTTCCGTGCTGGCTGTGATTCAGGTCAGAGCATTGTCTCTATGGCCCCTCAGACACTCCAGCAGCCTTAGGATTCACCATCCGAAATGTGCACATTATAAGAAGTTCTTGGTGTATGCCATGCTTTGTTTCATCCCAATACATTCTCTGATCTTAAGTCAGTGTTATGATTTTTTCCTGGAAGTCCTGCAGGGTCACAACATGCACACATGTTTTGCAAGACAAAGAGCACTTTCCTAACCTTCAGCTGAAGGAAATGTAGATTTCAAGTTAATGGCTATTCTTCATTGTGTCATGTCCAGCCACAGAAATTGTTTTTATTTGCAGCTGCTGCCACCCAGACACTCTGTATGCTCTTGTTGTGTTTCAGAGCCGCCAATTTATATTTCTTATTTATCGTTCTGCTAAACTGGGTTCCCGTGGTGGAGGCCTTTAGAAAAGAAATCACAATGATCCCTCTCACAGTGGTGCTTACAATTATTGCTGTGAAAGATGGCCTGGAGGATTGCACAAAGTACAAATTAGATAAAAAGATAAATAACTTTGTTACCCAAGTCTACTGTAGGTAAGTATTTCAGAAATGATCTTACTTCTGCTACTGACAAACAATTATCTCTGTTTCCTTTCTCTCACAACTCTGTATGTGAAGCCCAGTATTCTGTCTCTGTCATGGTCAGATGTTGGTGTACTTTTTCTTACCTTTGTTTGAATGCATGTGGTCGCATCACAGTGCCAGAATTTCCTGCAACTGGCTGTTTAAACCTGTTTCAGCCTTCCAGCCCAATTCTGGAACCGATGGCCATCTATGGAGGCCCTGTGCTGGGAGACGTGTTTGTTTGTTTGTTTGTTTAGAAAATTTCTAGGCCGCCCCATTCACCGAAGCCTCGGGGCAGCTTACAAATAAATAAATTAAAATACATAAATAACAATATAAAATACACATAACTGTATAAAATAAGTTGCCCTGGCCAAAAGGCGATGAGAGTCTGTCGATTTTCCCAGACTGCTCAGTGGCACCCTCCAGATGTTTGACTAGAACTCCCAGAATCATTGGCCATCCTGGCTGCGTCTTGCAGGGGTTGCAGTCCAAAACAGACTACAGTTTTTGCCTGGGGCAACTTTAATGCAAGTCTGGGTCTCAGCTGAGGTGACCGCCTGAGGAGCACCTCCTGAGGGCTGCCCCCAGCCAAGAAAGCCAGTGCCCCCCAAACCAGAAAGTGTTCAGCCTGTCCATCTTTCATGGAGTAGACGACATCAGGGATGTGACTAAGCAGCCTGATATCAACGAACCCTCAAAGAACCAAGTAAGTCAGGGCTGGCACTTGTGGGGCTAGCACATACTTTTGCCTTTAAGTGCAGGTGCATTTTTCTCATACACAAATAGGGAAGGGAGCTCTTTCAGGCTGGAACCTCGGCTGGAGGTGGGGGGAGGGTTTAACCTTTTGCCCCCCCCTACTGTTTTGGCGCAGACTGAGGGCTGTGAGCTGATGCTTGTTGGGATGGGGCAGAGCTCCCATTGAAGTAAATGAGAGGATTTCCTCCTGCTACCTCCAGGCAGATAGCCTGTCCTGACTGGTACCATAGCAGTATGCCAAGGATTAAAGCCCCTATCCTGGAGCGGCTGAGGTGAGAACCTCATTTAAGGGCAAAACGTAACCTCATGTGTACAATAGCCCTCAGCTGTTACGATTACATTGCAATTTTAGTATGTTGCAGAGATTAATAGAGAGGTTTTTTGTTTCAGTACTACTTTAGTGCCTTAAAATAACTGTTTGTTAAGGGTGGCTTTGCTTCACCTGCCAACTCACCAGAGGAATTTTTGGGAAAGGTTTTGTACTTGAGAACTGAGAAAGTTTTTGTACTTTAAATACAATGAGAATGTTGGTGTCTCCCTCTTACCATGGCAGTGGCTTGCCATAGATTGAGGAATATTTATTTATTTATTTATTTATTAAAACATTTCTGTGCCGCCCCATTCGCCAAAGCCTCGGGGCGGCTCACAACATAAATTAAAATACAAGAAATAAATATCAGAGCAACTAGAAATGCTTGAAACCTCCTTCTCTGAAGGGTTGTGCAAGAAACAGGTCATGGATCTGGAGCTGAAGCCTTTTTCCTTCTGTTTCTGTTTTGTCTTGATAATATAGCATTTACAGTGCAATCTTATACATTTCAGTTCAATAGTATGTCCTGTTGCATTCGATCAAGCTTACCCCTTGCAGAAGAAGTTATCCTTTGACACCTGGTTTATTCTGTTGGTTTTCAGGAAGTCATCAGTGTATCTGAAAACCTGAGTAATCTGGAATAGGTACTACTATTCTTTTCCAGATGAATTAGCAGTTTTCCATTTTTCAAAGGTTTTGCTATTTTGTCTGATGATAGTAATATGAATTGGTAATAAGAATTTGATGAAAGCTGTTTTTGCCCTTCCCTCCAATGAGGGACTCCTCTAGGGTAGAAGAAAGTAGTAATGTAGATAATTCCCATAGCTGCTTAAGCTGACAGCCTGCAGCTTTCATCCAGCTGCTTCAGGGCACAATCCTATGCATGCTTAGAGAGCAAAAAGTCCTACAGCCCCCAGAGCTCCCCTGCAAGGCATGCTGCAGATCAGCTGTACTGAAGCAATTTGCATTTGGCTCTTAATTATGCTGCAGCCCATTTACTCAACCAGGCCAAGCTTGTGTCAGCAGTGGCACTGCCAGGGAACACTTTGAGCAGATCTAGACCCCTTCGACCCTGGACTGCAAAGTTCAGAAGGACCAGCAAAGAGATGCTTGTCCAGTTCTACCCATCTTGTGCTGCCTGTGTACATTACCAGCTGTACTTGTGTCTTTAGAGGGGAATTAATATGCACTGTGTTGACCTTGCACAAACTGAATTTAAAATCTTTTCAGACTGAGGTCTTGATAAGGCTGTGAGCTCGTTATACATTTTAGGAAATGTTCGGTGCTTAAAGGTGGTAATTAACATTCAGTGGTATTGTTTTGGGATGTAAGAGTCTCCTGACACTTTAGTTTAATGCTGCTTTAGTGCTGTTTTGTACCTATACTGCTGTATTGATTTTTGCACATTGATTTTTATGTTCTCTTAAAAAACTAGTGATAACCATCTAGAAAAGGAAGTAGGCAACTGACTGGTACTTAATACTTTTTGACTGTGTGGTTCTTTCAGTTGTTCATTGCTCTTGGTTCCCTTGAACCTTTTAGAAAATAGATTGCCATAAAAGAAAGGCATTTCTCTTTTTTCTCTCTCTCCCCTTCTTCAGCTCTTTCAAGTTTCTATTTGTTGAATGTTTGCTGACAAAGATTGTGGGACCTAAGGGAGTACTAAGAAGCAAAAGAAAAGAGGAAATGTGGAGAGATGGTCCTGTACATTTGGGCACAGCACAGATATACCATGAACCTTACACTTCCAGTTAATTCGTACTTTCTTGTTAACATACATGTCCTTTGTATAATACCTGCAAATGCCAAAGTCCTGTTGTTGGACATATTGCATGTGATTTCTAAATAAGTGTGCAAGGTTGTAAAAAAAAAAAAAAGCAAATGTGTGCTCAGTATTTTCTTTTAAAATTCTCAGTGAAAATTAATTAGAATGGAGTTATTTGTATCAGAGAATTTTCTGATGCACTAGAGAGATCTAATTTAATATGATTTTAATTATATTTTGTAAACTACAAAGTGAAGCTGTACCCATGGTAATTTTTATCCCAATATATCACAAATATTTGACTTGAAATATAAGGGAAAACTGAAATTACATTTAATATATTTTAAATGTTATATAGAATTTTTGATTGGGATAGTTGTAAAAGGTAAATTAAAAATGAAAGATAATAGCATCTGCTTCCCTTTCATTAGATGGATTAAGGGGGAATAAAACAGCAAAGGAGTTTCTGAAAACTGTTACCATACTAATTTTAGTCGCTCAAAGAACTGTGTGTGATATGCTGATAGCCACTCAATTATTTTCATCCAAATTCAGCTCTTTTCCACTGAGGTTGTTGGGGCACAGTTTCTCTTTTCCTGTTTATTAACTTTATTTCAACTAACAAAAGGTAAACCTTCAAGGGGAAACCAAAGGCATGGGGTATCTTTGTATGCAAAAAAGGAGTGTTGTGGGATTTCCACCCACTTCAGGACAAATCTTCATTATCTCTCAACCCCCAGCTAGTCCACAAAGGAATCTTCACAGCCAGCTATCTGTCAAAATTATAGGTCCCTTTTAAAAGAGGTTCTATACCTTTTAGATTTATTTCTTTTCTTTTTAGCCATATGTCCCATTCAAAAAACCTCCCTTTTGAAGAGTCCCTAGCAGCTTGTTAGTGATATGTGATATGTGAACAAACCCATCCTCTGCTTGGTCAGAACCGCACTTAAACAGAGTAATTTTGTGTGTAAGGTACAGATAATCCCACATTCTTTCTGATTTAATTTAAAGCTTTAAAATATGAGAAAATTCAGACTTTTCATAGCACAGTATATTTTGTCCGCCTCCTTTTGTACACCTGGCTGAATTATTATTTTTTAATTTTGGTGTTGGTGTTTGCTAGTTTTTAAATATTGAAGTTTCATTATAATATTATTGTGTTTTTATGTTTGTTTTGTTCATCTACTTGGGTTTGGTCCAGAATGATGGCTTATAAATGTTCAAATAAAAGTGATTACTAGTTTATACTCTTCACCAGCACTATTTCAGAATTTCCTTTCGTTAATGCAAACTCAAGTTAACTGACTCTATTACAAATTCTTTTTTTATTTCATTTTGTTTTACTTTGATAAAGAGGTTGGTGATTTTTAAAGAGTATAATGGTGTAATTACCTACAAATACAGAGTTTTCTTTTATTCCTAATTTTCTAAAGCAGAGGTGACCTTTTCCTATTTTTCAGCAAAGAAAAGAAATACATAGAGAAGTTCTGGAAAGATGTCAATGTTGGTGACTTAATCCGACTGTCTTGTAATGATGAAATTCCCGCTGATATGGTGCTGATATATTCAAGTGATGGAGATGGAATCTGTCACATTGAAACATCAAGCCTTGATGGTGAGACCAATCTAAAACAGAGGCAGGTGGTAAAAGGATACGCAGAGCAGGTATACATTTCACTTGTTTGGAGAGCTGGAAAAGTTTATGGATATCATTGATGTTCTGCTGATGTTAAGAAACTTCCTATAGACCTCAGTTCTTCATGAAATCAATGGTGCCCTTTGTGCCTGACTTAGGTCTTCTGGTTTTGTTCATTTTGTCTCAGAGAGAGCCCCTTGATTTTGCAGGGATGGCTTTTCCTTTTTGGTGGTCTCCTACTTTTCAAGGGTTCCACCACAAAGAACTATTAACAAGCTGCTACCAGTCTGGATGAGCCTTGGGGCAGGCTGATTGGCTGCTTGGAGAACTTCAGCACCATTCATATGAGGCTTTCATTAAGAAATCACCTTTTAAAGCCATGCAGCTAACCACAGCGACAGCACAGGATTCCCAGCAAATCTGATGGGAAATGAGGCACATGGGGAAAGGTACTCAGCAGGCTGTGGGGAGGGTGATTCTGCTGGGAAATGAGGCACCCTCTCCCTATGGATCTTGCTTCCCAACGGTTTTGCTGGTTCTATAGAGAAACAATACACAAAGATCACATGATGTGCTCCTCTGCAGCACTACACACTTCCCAGCTGATGAAATGGTGATTCAGTGGATGAAGGGCAGGAATGCAATTCTGCCATGAAACAAGATGAGGGTGCATTTCCCAGCAGAATTACTAGAAATATTGTCTTGTGACTGCTCCCAATTGAAGCTACGTTCACTTCTGATTGCACCTGTGGTGAGGGCAGTGTGCAGCTCCCAGAGAAGCCCAGGTGTTCCAGTGTAGCCCCCCAACCCTCTTTAGTTGTCCAGCTGTGCTTTTATTGGAGTCTGCATCCAGTAATCATCTCTCCTTTAGTGGGGGCTGATTCATGTGTCCAGTGGCATTTCTGATGTCCATAGCTAGGCTAACAAACCAGAACATAGTGGCTGGATCCAACCTCCTAATGACCCTTGAACTTGAATTATAAAGCTAGTTGGCCAGCTCTCTCTGGACAAACTGTTATGCAGGAGGGATTGTGCCAGTAAAGAAAGAGATAAGGTGAGCTTATTCAGACATTGTGGCAATTCACAAAAAAATTCTAGGGGGTACTATTGGGACGTGACACCCCCATATGTAGAAATAGAGTAGGAAGACCCAGACATTGTATTTGGTACTAACTCTTTTGCCTGCTGGAGTTTCATTCCAGGGACCCTCCTGTCCTTGCTAAAATATTAGGAATTACCACATTTTACCATATTCACTGCAACACATTTTACTACATTCATTTACAATGCATTATTATGCCACATACTGTACATTCACATGTTATCTTTACACAGATCTAGTCAAAGCAATCACTAAAAGAATTACTGATAGGAGTGGAGTTCCCCCCCCCCAAGTTATTTGTCTGTTGAATTTCTATCTCCTTTGTCAAAACATAATTAAACTGTGATTAACTGTATAGCATATGAAGCTTCCTGAATTCAGTGAGGCCAGTATTTTCTATGTAAACAGTTGTAGACTGGGTTTGTGCACTTAGGGAAGGAAAATAAACCAATGTTGCTTATTTTCCCACCCCCACACATAGCAGTTGCATGCTGTTGAATTATCATAATTATGTTTGCCATGTGCAGTTTGTTGTGCTGTATGGATCTAGTGAAGGTTGGATTTGTATGAGGTTTACAAGCCACCTAGAATCCATGGCTTATTCCAGGGCTGCAGGGTGGTTTGTAAACTACCCTTCCCCAAAGTGTGCAAATCTGCTAATTATCTCTCTAAAAGTTCAGAACTACTGAAAACACTGTTGTTTTTAAGAATTCACTTGGTTAAGCTGCTTTTTTAACTTTTACAACGTCCTCACTCCCACCCCCTGAGGTGCCAGATAAGACTTAAAATAGGTTTTCATTTATAGGCCAGTAGGTTTTTCATGTATTAAATAATCTCTGAAAATTTGGATTAAGTATGGGCAAGCTTGGACTTGCCAGGACCAATTTCATCTGTCTAAGGGTTGATTTCCTGCTGCACTCATTGTGGCAGCCGCAAACCATTTACCACTACAGTTGGGCAGCAAACCTTTATGCTGGCCTAAAAAAGGCAAATTTAGCTTTAAATCAAGGCACTCGCTTCTCATCTTGCCACTGCTACAGCAAATTAGGGGGCAGCAGGAGCCATACTCAAGTCTGCTTGCAGTCCATGGCTCCATGGTTCCCACCGCTCATCATAATTTAACAATATCTGGTCTTTGCATCAGGTTCTAACATGAATGGCATGAACAGGTGTGAAAAGACAGCTACCAATAAGAGACTTCGTTACTTCTTGAAGTTGCCACATTTCATATCAAAGCTTCATTTTTGCTGTTTGTCTTCCCTCCATGTTTGTACAGAACACTGAGGTTGATCCAGAAATGTTCTTATACAAAATACAGTGTGAGTCCCCTAACAATGATCTCAGCTCCTTCCGGGGCTTCATGTAAGTAACCTGAGATAAGCTCTTATGCAGTGCATTGTGTCCATGTTGGTAAAAGCTTAAAGATTTTAAAGTAAGGATCAGCAACTGGTAAACCTCAGGCAAACCTCGCCACCTTACATCTGCTGCCTGGCCCTCCACAGCCAGCTATGGTGGGGCCCATGAGAAGCCTTTAGTGTCAGAGAGAGTCCTTGTTCGCATTTGGAAAGAGTTGGCTAAATTGACTAAGTTGTTTGGCTTAACAGGATTCCTTTACTAAGGCTGTATGACACTGCATCATGGACAGATGTCACATGTCAATGGATTTAGTACAGATTTGATAACTATAACAAAACAAAAATCTATTTAAGCTTCCTCACAAACTTTTCTATTCATTATGACAAGCAATACACTCATACTCCACACATGGCCAGATTTTTAAATAGTCGCTATGATGCAATATTTTGAACATCAACCCATAAGTCTTTTGATGTGTGCTACATGTTTGTGAGATGGTGGATGGTGTGAGTGCATTGCTCTTGAGGTCTATTCTAGAGAGACAACAGTTACAACTGGATTTGTCTTTGCAGGGAGAGTTCAGATAATGAGCGAGTGGGGCTGAGTAAGGAAAACCTGCTGATGCGAGGATGCATTGTCAGAAATACTGAAGCCGTTATTGGCATTGTGGTATATGCAGGTCAGTATTGTGGGCAGATGGTGCTGGGTTGCACAGCCTGAGAAGCAGACAGTGAAGGAAACAAAACATTACTGCCAAGCACAGCCTTAAAGGTGGAAATGGATAGCCTAAAACTGTAACAGTGAAGAGATATGTTGCTTTGGGAGGGGTCCCCCATTCATAATTCAATACTTAGTTTATTTAAAACATGTCAATACTGCTCCACAGTTCGAAATTTCCAAGTGGATTTGTAAAAACATTATAGAAACCATGTTAACCATAAAGACAGTGCTGAATTGATCACAAGATTTTTTTAAATCGGTCATGGAAAGCCTGAGAAAATTGAAAGCTCTGTACCCTGCACATAAAAGACATTAGCACAGGTTGTAGGTGAGCTCCCTTGAAGAGAGGTTCACAAGTAGGGTGCCACAATTGAAAAGGCCTCCTTTCCCACCAGCAGCTTCTGGGACCTGGGCCTGCTTCTCCAGTAGGAATAGGCAACTGGAAGCCATGGGCCACATCTGGCCCCTGAGTATTCCCATGTGGCCCAATGGAGTAGTCTAAGGACCGCATCCTTAACCCAATGGGCACTTCAGCCACTTTTCTGTCAATGTGATACTGGCCATTTTCGTGCACTTGCCTTTATTCTTTCTGGCAGGCCACATAGTGACATTGCCCAACTATCATAATTTGTCCAAACTGTGGAATTGGATTGTTAGGATTTTCTCCAGCCCTTTAAAGTTCAGAAGTCTATTTTTATCCAGGAAGCATCAAGTATCCCAGGAACAAATTTCACAAAATTACAATATCAGGTAGAAGCATTATCAAAATGTTTTACTATTCTTAGTCTGTGAGGCATGTTCTAAGACTTTCAGTGACATTCAGAGATGCGATGTGCTTTGTGTGCCAAAAGGTCATGAAACCAAAGCGATGTTAAACAACTATGGGTCTCGTTACAAGAGAAGCAAACTCGAGAAGATGATAAACCATGATATCATCTGGTGTGTTCTGCTTCTACTAGTGATGTGCTGTATAGGGGCAGTGGGTAAGTTAACATTCCATCAACAAATGAGGATCTTCTCTCTTTCTAGGTTTGATTAGACCATGTCTTAAGGATTTTGAGATAGAATTTCATTTGTGGAAGGTTTTGGTCCATCATAACTGCACATCTGCACCACTGCAGATGACCAGGGGGCTGCCTTGGAGCCACCAGCCAGCAAGAGACAGGTGACCTAAGGAGCCTGTACAGTTTCCCTTTAGCTGCTGGCTCTGCTGTGGCAATCTTTTGTTCAGGTACAGACTGAACTGCATTACTGCTTTCCTCCCAGCAGCAACCCCTGAACTGGGCCTTGCAACATGCCTGATGGTAGGAAACTGGGTCACTACACCTCTCCTCAAGCTTCAGGAGCTTGGCTTTGTCCTAGTAATTTTCTGACAAATATGTTTGCATCCTCCTGAACATCCTTAAAGTTCCTGTGTGGTCACTCCTTTGCCCCAAGGAATAACCCAGTGCTGATTCATTGGTCTTCAGAATGCAACACAGGGCTTTCCCCATTCAGCCATGGAGCTCACTGGGTGACTTTGGGGCAGTCTCAGACTCTCAGCCCAACCTACCTGACAAGGTTATTGTGATAAGGATAAGACTGAGAGGCGGCAGAGGAGAATTATGTAAGCCACCTTGAGTTTCTTGGAAGGAAAAATGGCAGAATATGAATACATACTTGGATGGATGGATTCTTTGGGACAGTGGCTGCATATTTTACAATTTAGATATTATTAATGAACTCAATCAAGGCCTTCAGTAACTACATGCAGAATTATCTCTCTTCTCTCCATTGTGGTTCTGCTTAAGTAGCTGTCAGCCACTCTTTGTCTGAAGCTCTTATTACACCATCCTATGCGTGCTCAGAGGAAGGCTTGCGCAAATTCGTCTGTATAAGGATTGCTGTCTAAATCACCTGTTTGAGTTCTGTTTTCAGAGAGCCCACTTACAAAACACCATGCTTAGCTGCTTGCTTAACATGGTAAACTGAGCACTGGTTTCATTTGCCCCATTGCTCGGTGACAGAGTACCTGTTTCATTCCAGGATCAGGCCCCCATTGAAAGGATAGCAGATGATGCAAAAGACCCCTGCTTGAGACCTGGAGAGTGTTTTCCAGATGATGTCAGCAGCAATAGGTTACATCAGTGCGGGAAGCTTGTGGGCCTCCAAATGTTGTTGGATCTCACCTCCCATCATCCCTCACCTTTTCCTGACCAGATATAAAATAGCTTCCTGGATTCCTAATTCCAGTTAGTACTTTAAACCACAAGGTATTAATGAGGCAGATTGCTATATGAGCATACTATACTGCGGCCACTTTGGTGTGGTAGAGAAGGTGCTGGATGGGGGACCTGGGAGATCCAGCTTCTAGTCCCCACCTGGCCATGAAGCTCACTGGGTAACTTCAGGCCAGTCTGTCATTCTCAGCCTAACGTAATTTGTTGATGTGAGGATAGAATGAAGCTATGTAAGCCACCTTGGTTTCCTCATAGGGGGAGAAAAGGTGGGGTATATGTGTAATAGAACAGCAGCAGCAACAGGTAATACAAAACCAGGGGCACGAGGCTTCTCTACACAAGGCAGTCACTGTGCACTTGTGATCCTTCACTAGGGGAAGTTGGTGGGTCAGTTACACAGGTCCTCCAGGACCTCTCCCATGTTTTGTAGCCATTTTTGCAGGGTGAGGGCAATGAGGCATTACATTTTAATGACCCATGTAATTCAGCAATTGCACTAGACTTCAGGGCCACATTGGGGTTGTATAATACCATATAGGCAAATTCCTGGGGAAAAGATATATAAACAATCCCTTCTTTTTCTCACCAAAACCCAGGTTAAGCCCATGAAGCCCCAGGTTAAATGCCTCATATAGAAAAGCCTCTAGTCTTAATTTGTTGAATATATGACAAGTCAATGGTGAAGTACAATCCTAAGCATGTTTAATTAGAAGTAAGTCCTGCTAAATTCTCTGGAATGTATTTCAAAGGAAGTGCCTGTAGGATTACAGCAATAGTTTAGGTTACTGCTTGGTGTCTAGATGGTCAAAAAAGCTCATCAAGCCGGGGTAGTTCAGAAGTGTTTTGATTCTTTGCTTACTAGGCTGGTATCATTGCATTAAATGACAATGCCACATGTATTCCCTTTTGCTAAATGTTTCTGCATTTTCTTTTTAAAGGTCACGGACTTTGGTTAAATGCTGGTTCAGATCCACCTCTCTATAGTAGCGGAAAACCACTTTCTCCAAAGCTGGGAGGCTTTTTAATGTTTTGGACAATGATTATTTTGTTACAGGTAATTTCACAGCTTCTCAGTCTATGCCACTTACTCTGTAAACTGTAAACCTGGAATAACCTAAATTTGTTGGAAAAGTTCTAGACCTTTTCTGGTGCAATTGAGAGTAGGATCTGGCCTTGTGAGCAAATCTGTACTAAAACCAGGGTGTTTCTGTTTCTGTTTTGTTTTGTTTTTTGCTTTGACAGGTATTGATCCCAATTTCGCTGTATGTGTCTATTGAATTTGTCAAACTGGGCCAGATCTATTTTATCCAGAATGACATAGATTTATACGATGAAGTCGCTGATACCAGGATTCATTGTGGATCTTTGAATATTGCTGAAAACCTCGGGCAGATAGAATTCATTTTCTCTGATAAGACCGGGACCCTCACGGAAAACAAAATGGTTTTTCGGAGATGCAGCATTGCAGGACAGGAATATGGCCATGAAGAGAATGGTAAGAGTAAGGCAAGGTGATGCACTGGAGAGGAATATTTAACTAGCAACCTAGTCCTGGAAAGAAGCAAGAAGGTGGCACTGAAGGGAGCAGCTGCTGTCGTACTACCCATTGCTTGCTGCTTTGGTAGCCAGAATTAACAACGCTCGTTTATAAGAATTTAAGAAGTAGAGAAGCACTACTCTTTAAATAGGCTCTTTTTACTGCCTTAATGTTAGATTATTATAATTTATCTAATGTAAGCTGCGCTGGGAACAATGTGCAAACATGCTTTCAGTAAGTAAATGAACTGCTTCTAAAGCTGATCCTTTTTAGCTTAGGCAACTGAGCAATAAGTTAGAGAAATTAAGGACATTTTGGTCCACACACATTTTGGGCCCTTTTTCTCTTTGCCCTTGTGTACAAACTACCTTCTGCCCTTTAGTCATGTGAAGTGACAGTCAAATGGCATAGTATATTGAATATGTAGTGTGAAGCTAACTCTGTTGCTGCTTTACTCACACGGAAGCCTATGGGTCCTGGATCATAAGACTGCCATGCATGTATAGGGATCAGGACCACCACCCACTGAGGTGGCTTCTTTTCTTGAATCCTCTTCCTATAGGCAGAAGGCCTGAAGAAATGAAAGTCCTCCTGCTGGGCATACTCAAACCTCTTTCAATCCAGTCCTTCACATTTAAGTAGTTTTTATCAGTCTCCTGAGGTGGCATCTTCATAGGCCCTTTCATTTTCTGCCTCCATCTCCCATAATCTGTACAAACAGATCCACTAGGAAGAGGCAGAACAAGTGGAACTGCTAACACCAACTTCATAGAAGACGGAGTGGGCTCATTTACCTGGCGTGTACTTTAGTTTTTGCAGGCCATGTGGTGATTGAGTGAGCTTTCGTGTTCTATCTAAGGAAATGCATAGCCAATTGAATAGGATGAAATAACAGAAATGACATTGGAATTGAATATATAGCACTTGCATCCATTCAGGAAAGGTTAGATATTTTTTCCTATCAAGGGCTATACAAGATCAAAAATGATCATTCAGATCTTTCTAGTATGTGCTTTATAGTTCAGTTTAGCTTCCCCAGTGATCACTGAAAAATGTTGCCCTTTCAAACAATAAGACCTAATTCTACATCAAATCATGAACTGAATGCACGGTAACGAAGGATGACTCTCTTTCTCCCTCCCTCTCTCCCTCCCCACCCCTTCACACACACACACACACACAGAGTAGCCATACAATTCCCAGCTACTGTATCTGGAACATCTTAGTTATGAGGCTAGTCATGCCCTCTGGTGGCTGTATTCAGAAATCATGAAAACAAAATAGGACCTATAACCCTTTTCAGCATCCAATACATTATAACAGAGATAGGCAAGCTGATTTCTTTATTTTTCCCCTCCTTCTTCCAGTGGGTGGCTGGGGAGGTGGTAGAGAGTTGCCAGGAACATTAAACTTCTGACCTCTCCTGCCCTCCCTCATGGGCTTTTGCTACCTAAGTACATACAAACTTATTCCAGCCCTCAGTATTTTTGCCTATTAATTTGCTTACTCCTTTGCTGCTGGCTTATCAAGCCAACTATTCTTTATGACTGGAAAAAAATGATTGGAATTTTAAAATGTGGCCCTTGGTTAAACACCCCACTGAATTTCTTGTAAGTTTTTGGAGAAGATTGCACAGCAAATGGGTTTTTTCTGCCTTGTAAAACTATCATCTTTCCTCTCCCTAGCTAAGAGGCTAGAAGCATATCAAGAATGTGATGACGATGAAGATGAGACGCCATTATATTCTTCTCACAGCTCTTTGAAGCCTCTCTCCAAAGCAGGGTTTTTCAGCCGCAAATCAAGTGCATTTCTGGGAAACAAGTCTTTGAGCATGTTTCGTAGCACCACTACTATGGGTGCCCCAGCCATGAGACAACTGGCTTTCAGTAGCCCGCTTGTAAGTGTTCTTTGGATCTAAGTCAGCCTCACATGTAAGGCTCCTAAAGCTATTAACTTGTCTGCCCATACAGATCTTTCTTATTTATGCTCTAAAAGAGAGAACATGAAACACCTAATTTTTGAAACACTTACCTGTCTAGCTGTATGGTGGGAAGGGAGCACTCTTTCAGTCTGGGGGCTAAATAAGATTTCATAAATGTTCCCAGGGGCCTCATCCCACTGGTGGGTGGCCCAAAGGCACAAGCAGGGCAAAAAGGGCCTGCGTATTTTAGCTTGTTGGTAGAAGGGTGTGTTAAACGTTTTAGAATGGAGAATGGCTACGCAAAAGCCAGGAAGCCACTCAGTGTCCAGTAGTGAGGAAGAACGGAGTAAGGCTGGGGGAAAGGGAACGTTCCTTTTTGTGGAACCACACAGGGCTGGACTGGCTCTCCAGAAGCCCTAGGTTTGGCTCCAAGCTTGACGTTCGCCACGACGCCCAACTCCCATGGCAGGCCACAGGTGACCAGGGGAGTGGCTATTTGTAAGACGGGGCTAAGTCATCCATCTACAGCAAAGAACACTGCTGTCAGTGGGTGTGACTCCAGCTGTTCATCCTTGACTCTGTTTATGCTCTGAGAACTGGAATCTTTCAGTGCTTGGCCCGATCAGTGTGACTTTTTAAAAAGATCTCTTACAATATGCCACAAAAGTGGAAGAGAGCTTCAGCTGTGCAGTGCAATAGAAATGAAAGGAATAATTATTATTTTTATAAAGCCTAGAATCTGACTGTTCTCATTTTGGCTTGACCAACAGGAGACAGATGTGGTACCAGACATGCGACTTGTAATGAAATTTAACCGAATCTCATTCAAATACTATACACAGTTTGACTTGGTAGAGCCAATGCCAGAGTTAGTGTACATCAATGAATTCTTCACTGCATTAGCTATTTGCAACACGGTTGTTGTTTCAGTACCTGATCAACCACGTCTAAAGGCAAGTACCCAAGATGTTCCACAGCGTACATCAATCTGCTGCAGAACAAGAACTCTGTTGGTGCCTCTTGTTTGCACTGAGAGAATCGAAGCGGTCAATGATAGATGAGTTTCTCTGCCATTGTCTTGTCAGCTTTGCTTGGGGAATGAAACCACAATTTTGCTGGAACTTCATGGTCCAATGTGTGTATGCCAATACACAGCTAGTAAAACTTGACATGGAAACTTTCCATTTCTGTTAAAGAGCGATATTTACATGAGGTAGAGTTAGACATTTAAATAGGGGAGAAATTTAAATCAGAATGCAGTTTAAATTGGAATAGAGTGGGTTTTTAAAACTAATAGTCTGAGTATGAAGAACTAGCTGCTGAAACATTGAATCCTGGCCAGCCCCTCGTTTACAAAGATCTGTGTGCTATGGGGATTAGAAAGTGGATGATACAAGTCTCACAGTTTGACTGAACAAAAGTAAGATTGCATTATTGGACCACCTCTTTGAGAGTGTGGACTGTGAGAGAATGGGCATCAAAATGGCAGACATGGCTTATTTATTTATTTATTAGATTTATATCCCACCTTTTTTCCTTTCAAGGAGCAAAAGGCAGTCCACATAATTCTCCTCCACCTCCTCTCATAATAACCCTATGAGGTGGGTTGGACTGAGATTCTGTGACTGGCCCAAGGTCACCTAGTGAGCTCCATGGACAAGGGGGCAATAGAACCTAGAACTCCTGAGCCATGTCCCATACTCTTAACCACTGCGCCACATAGGTTCTCTGTAAGCAAATGTAAAGTAATGCAAGTTGCGGCAACCCAGTGCAGCTGCTGTGAAAACCACAAGCTCCATGTTAGGCATAGTTTGCAAAGCAAGTGAACATAAAACTGCCAATATCATAGTATCCTTATACAAATCTATGGGGAGACCACACTTAGAATATTGTATACAGTTCTGGTTGCTGCACCTAAAAAAGGATATTGCAGAGTACACAAAAAATGACTAAAATGATCAGGGGGTTGGAGCAATTCCCCTGTGAGAAAAGGTTGCAACAACTGAGATAGTTCAGCTAAGAAAAAAGGCCCAGAAGAGGAGACATGATAAAGGTGCAAAGAATTATGCATGGTGTGGAGAAAGTGAAGAGGGACTTTCACTTTCTAATAATACTAGAACCCAGAGTCATCCCATGAAGCTAATTGGGAGAAGATTCAGGACAGAGCAAAAGAAGTACTTCGTCACACAATGCACTTAAACTATGAAATTCATTTCCAATTCACAGTGCTGGTATTTTCTTTTAAGGCCTTTATAGGATCCAAATGACCTGCAAGAGTGTCTCACTATATTAAATTGCCCTGATTTTAAGATTTTCATTTGAAGCCCCTCATTGAGTTCCCTTTTCCAGGAAAACTTACATCCATATATGCCCAGCCGCCCCCTGAGATCGGTGGGAGAGGCCCTTCTCCGGGAGCCCTCCGTGAAAGAAATTAGGAGGGTGGTTACTCGGAGGAGGGCTTTCTCTGTGGTGGCGCCTAAGTTATGGAACGCGCTCCCCAGAGAGGTCCGCCTGGCGCCATCGTTATTTGTTTTTCGGCGCCAGGCGAAGACCTTTTTATTCAAGCAGCATTTTAAATGTTAATATTATTGAATTTTATCTGGCCAGGGCAGCTTATTTTATTCTAAATGTATATATTTTAATTTTTATTTCTGTGAATCTAATTTATTGTTGTAAGCCGCCCCGAGGCTTCGGCGAATGGGGCGGCATAAAAATGTTTTAATAAATAAATAAATAAATAAACCACTATGCAGTGACAAGCAAGAGAACCATTTTGTAGTGGCATCCCAGCTTTGGAATACCTTCCCCTTAGAAATACATCTGATACTGGCATAACAATCTTTTCAGAGTCAGGTCAAAATTTTGTATTTTTCCATGTATTTTAAATGGGTTATTTTAGAAATCTGCTTTACTGTTTTAGCTACCTCTTAACTATCTATTTATGACAATGGTGGGTTTATTTTATTATAATGTATTTGGTGTGATTAATTTTATTTGTATCTTCTATACACCACCCTGCCAACCATAGGATGAAGAGTCTATAGAATGGTATACAAATGTTTCTAAGAAATACTGTGAAAAATCTTTTCATCACAAAACAGTTGCAGTTTGGTTTTGCTGTAGGCCCAAGATGATTTTTAAAAGATTTCTGATTCAGGGACTATAATAATAATACTTATATAATTATTTGTGTTAAAATAACAATTATTATGGCATTGATTCATTGATTATTACATTAGATTTGCCATTGTACATTGTGTCTGTCTGTCTATTTATTTGGGGAGCCAAACTTAGGTCAAGTTTTAGATGACTGTTTATTTTGCTTTTGAAAAGTTTTGGCTAGAACTTTCCCAGAAAGGAAATTTATAGAGCAGTTATCAAAACTTGCCTAATCCTCAGTTTTCCTCTCTGCAGTGGTGGCAAAAAAATCAACAGCCGACAAACCGCTACAGAGCAGTAATGAGATTCGATTTAGCTTGTTATTCAGCTACATTGGATCCATTTATCACTCTTCAATGGTAAATGGGGGGGGGGGGAGTTAGGGTCTGCCACAAATGTTGGCAGTGTGACAGGGGTCAGTGGAGGGTGTTGATCACTTCTGTGTTAGGTTATAAGATTCTGAAGGTTGTTAGTTGTCTCAGTTTTACTTTGTTAATGATTGAGGAAATGGATCTTGCAGCTAGGGTAGTTTTAATTTCCTTTCTCCCCTTAAAGACAAAGGATAACTAGAGGGCATTTGTTTTCCTACTTGTACCTTACCTTGAGCAGTCTTGCCCATGATCCAGTGTCTTCTCAGCCCCTTCTGGCATATTTTGGATTATGCCATTTTGCTGCAGGATGAGTAGTGACAACTCATTATTCTTTTACAGAGGCGGTGGTCTTCAGTAGTCAGAATGCCTGTGTTACCCACCGTTGATTTTAGACACATGTTACAGAAGTTGTCATCCCGAAAAATTAGTCCCATATCCATTCAAACTGCAACCTCAAATGAAGTACATTCCGAGCACTTCAAGAAGCAACCCAGGTTGTCTGTTTTTCATGTCAAGTTTCCGTCCATTGTGTCTTATGACAACATCATCTCTCCTGAGGGCTCACCAATCTCAGTGGTATCTGGGCAGGAAACAATACCGCCTGCAAGTTCCTTCAATGATAGCAATGAGGAAGAGGCTTGTGACCCAGTGGCACCACTGGAGCAGTCTTATGAAGCAGAGAGTCCTGATGAAGCCGCGCTAGTCTATGCTGCCAAGGCTTACCAATGTACTTTGAAAGCCAGGAACCCAGAGCAGGTGACAGTGGAAATGGGTCCTTTGGGAACTTTAACATTCCAGCTGTTACACATCTTGCCCTTTGATTCCTCTCGAAAACGAATGTCTGTGATAGTTAAGCACCCAATTTTAAAGCAGATTGTGATATACACAAAAGGAGCAGATTCTGTCATCATGGATTTACTGAAGTCTGAATCAACAGGTATGGATGAAACTTTTTTTTTTAATTTTCTAAAGTGACACGGCAAAAATATTTTGTCTGACCCAGATTTTTTAAAATTGGTCATTGTCTGCTTAATAGCATAGGAGAAGCAGCCATCTTCTACATAAATTGTCACCATCCTTTAAAACTAATGGGAAACTTCTGGCCTGCAGGCCTAAGCTGGTCCATGAATGTTGCCACACTGTCTTCACTGCCCTTTTCTGTTCCCAGGCCCTGCCTCATGGCCTAGAGCAGTGATGGCAGACCTTTTACAGACCGAGTGCCCAAACTGCAACCCAAAACCACTTATTATTGCAAAGTACCAACACTGCAATAAAACCTGAATACTGAGAATTTTAGTTTAGAAAAAACAACTCACAGCCAGTCCAAGCAAATCTCTTTCTTTCTCTCACTCTCTCTCCATCCATCTATCCATCCATCCCTGGCAGCGCAACTGACCAGCCATGCAAAAGCTCAGATGAGTCGCGAATAATGAGTCGCAGCTTGTGATGTCATTGCCTGGCACCGCTACTCCTTTCTGAACATGTGCATGGCCCCTCTGTGTGCTGTTATCCGATGCTTGGCTGCTGGGGCGATGCTGGGGCAACTTGGCTTGCGTGCCGACAGAGAGGGCTCTGCATGCCCGCTGCAGCACACGTGCCATAGGTTCGCCAGCACAGGTTTAGGGAAGTGGCAGAGAGATTAAATGCATTGCTCTCCCAGGTCTCTTATGAAGCATGCCACTCTCCCAGCTTACTGAAAGGGGCGCACCAGTGCCCAGGGCTGCCCCCCAACCAAGTGCTAGCTGAGGGCGCTTCACCCATGTAGGGAACGAGGGGCAGGAGTTGTGCCCGCCATGTAGTTAGCTGGACCGTGCAGGAGGAGCTGCATGTGGGCTTCACTGGTCCTTTGCCTTTGCACCTGCAGGCGAGCTGATGAATGATGCTGGCTTTACAGTTGTAACATCCACTGGAAGAACTTCCGCCATCACTTTGGCTGTATGCTCAGCGATGTCAGAGAGCAGAGCCAGGGTGGCTGATGCTAGTTGTCCTGGGGTCTCTGGGGGAACCCTACCCCACTTTAAAAGGCAGTAATAAATATTCATGCCACAACAAAAAGAGCAGGTTCAGTGTGAGCCCCTACTATTGATGCAACCTAATTAAGATCTCTCATCTGAGCCATTTAAACATGCTGTCAAAAGGTCTTCATTTAGGCAAGCCTTTGATCACTAATGTGGAAGACATTTAAGCTTTATTATGCCAACTGCTTGAGAAAAGCTGTTGATCTGGTACTTATTCATTTTCTTTTGAGGTTTCTAAGTTTTATGTTTTGATGGTGTTCTCCAGTTTGAGAGTTCTTGTCAAGTGAAAAGTGGATTAGAAATGTTCCAGTGAACATCAGATCCCCGTGACTGACTTGCACCTTTGGAAGTTGAGCTTAATAACACTGACCACTCTCAAAAACCCCTGCAACAATTATTTGATGAAATCTGACCTTCATGTATTCATCCATGATGCCTTTTATATAAATCTATAGTGCATCTCCACTTAGAATCCTAGTCACCACACTGCAAAAGGAACATTGTGTTATTTTTTATTATATCTGTAAGCTGCCTTAGAACAAAATTTTATCAGGATAGTTCACACAATAAAACAGGATAAGGACAACAAATAATAACAACAACATCTAAAATCCCAGGGAAAAGAGAAGATCTTCACCTGACATTGAAAAGATAAGGGTGCATTAAAGAGGAGCCTTCCTTTAGGGACCATTCCTTAAATGGAGTCCCACAGCAAAGAAATTATCTTCTTCCTCATGGGCTCTGTGCATCATACAAAGGGGATTGTGCGCCTGTGTAGCTCCTAGAATTGGGAAAACTTCAATAGCTAAGCATGTTGAGTGGGGTGGGGGGGCGCTTCCCTTCTGGTTCCCAGGAGGTACAGAGGAGGAGCCCCCCATCCACTCCCCCAGTTCCTTTTTGATCACTACGTGCCTAACATCAATCAGTGGCAACACCCAGGAAGGGCATCAGAAAATGACCTCAGGGTCCAGGTAGGGGCTTTTAGGAGGAGATGTGCCTTTACAGTAGGAACAGGTGCAGAAAAGGACAACCCAAATGATCAAGCAGCTGGAGCAACTCCTCTGTAAGGAAAGTTTACAGCATTTGAGATTTTTTAGCTTAGGGAAAAGCAGTTGGTAGAGGAGAGAGACATATGATAGCAATATATATCATTATTCATGTTGTGGAAAAGTAGCTAGGGAGATAATTTTCTTCTCTGCATAGTATTAAAACCTGGGGTGATCCAGTGAAAGTGGAAGATTCATAATAGACAAAAGGGCACAGCTTTTCAAGCAGATTGTTCCATCTATGGAATGTGCCACCAGCGTGGACTCCATTAAGAAGAGGACCATTAACAGGATAAAGTTAATAATGCCTACCAGTCCAAATGGTTATATATTGCTAGCAACCTCATAAACATCATGGCTCTGAACATCAGAAGCTGGGGAACAGCTCTGGGAAGTCTCTCGTGTTGTGAGCTTCTCTTGGGAATCTAGCTAGCCATTGTGGAACAGAATGCTGAACTGGTCCAGAAAGTTCTCTCTTGGCTTTAGATCAGGACTGGCCCAAGCCATTTCAGACAGATCTGTTTGTTTCTTTAAACTCAGGTATTAAAAAAGGAGACCTTCAAAGGAAAAGAATTAAGGAAAAAACACAGATGCACTTAGATGAATATGCTAAAAAAGGACTACGCACTCTCTGTATAGCTATGAAGGTAATAATGAATGGTAGATAACTGAGAACAGTTATGTTTCATTCTTGGAAGAGTAGGATGTTATGTATTCGATAGGTACCTTTTCCTTAACTTAGGATATAGCCTTGAGACAGCACCAATCAGCACCCATGGAATGTTGAAACATACAAGGTTGGGATCTGTATTCAACCCACAGCTGAAAGCTTTGAGGATCCCTTAAACACCAAGGCAGAGCCACCATCTTTGACCACCTGGTGTTCCATCATAACTGAGCTTCCCTATTTACTTCAAAGAAAGGGCCTGTGGTGTACATATTTAGACCCCAATATGTGTACGTAGAGCTCTTGGGAAGTACCTTTAGCTCTTTTTTCATCTCAGAAAAATAATTAATACTTTAAAGAGGTCAGATGTTATTTTAAGTAATAGTTGTCCTGTTCTTTTTAGGCTTTCAGTAGGTGGCGGTGGAGGGTTACAGGTAACTTTGCCTGAACTTCTCCCAGAACTTTGCTGGTTATACTTCGATTCATACATGTTGCACTGAATAATTCTATAATCAACTGCTTCGATAGCATGCATTGTTCTTGCTTCATATAAAATATTCTACTTCTGGTTCTTGGAGTATGATTATCCTTTTTCTCTAATGCCCCACTCAGTCTGTAAACGGGGCATTAGGCAGCTGCTCCTGCATACTTGCAGGGTTCCCTAAGAGTGCAGTAGTATATTTTTTGTAAACTAGTCCAACACGGATTTTAGAAAACCAGCCTACTAAGGATCGGTGTTCAGTGCATTCTAGATCCTAAGGAGGAAGAGACAGAGAAAAGAGTGTGGCATAAAAAGAGGTAGAACTTTCAGTCCCCATCAGTTTACCTCCAAAAGAATGCAGCTATTGACTGCAAAAGGGCTCCCCATCCTGGCTTGTAGAATATTTGAGGGCTGAAGATTAGGACTGAGAAGATACAATTCTTCCCACCCCACAGGGAATCCTCTTATAGGGAGGATTTGGGAAGGAAGGAAGGAAAAGAACACCTCCTTTTCCCACTCTCCATACACCTCCACTCTGGCTGTACAATAATTAAGTGCTCCAAGCTGAAGCATTTTCCACCAACTCCTGAGTCATTTAGTCATGTATAGCACAGTATGGGAAGGTCTTCAGAATGGTGGGCTGCCTTTTTGGCCCTATGAAACCTCTCCTTCTCTAAACCCTCACACTGGAAGTCTCCTGTCTAGATTTTCCCTAGCCCTAAGCAGGAGCACTTTCTCCTGTTAGGGGCTAATATGAAGATACATCGCAACATTTTGTTGTGGATCCCCAGTTGTATTCTGTTTTGATGGCTTCCATATGGAGTCTTGGGTAACATGAAATTTTGAGCTCCCTATGTTCAGATGTTCTTTAGCTCCCATAATTTTAAGGAAATATTAATTAATATGATTTGTGATATTGAAAGCTCCAAGTATTAAAAACCTCAGTATTTTGAATTCAGTCATATGATGATTGGTATATTGCTTTAATGATGGGAACTCAGTTGTTGTTTTAATTTTTTCCATGTACTATTTTAACTAATATGTATTTTTGGTGATTCTGCAGGTTTTGAGCAGGCAAGAATATGAAGAATGGTTAAAAGGACATTATTTAGCAGAAAGCAGTATAGCAAACAGGGAAGAGTTGCTCTCTGAGTCTGCCATGAAGCTTGAGAACAACTTAACATTGCTTGGTGAGTTTGGAAGAAAACCTTTTAAAGACCTAAAAAATATAGGTGCAGATGTAATTGATATTGTGTAATTTCACAAACTAACAAGGCTAATGCAAATATGCATTTTTTGCCATTGATGCGGCTCATTTTTTATGGAAGGAGGAGCATATTTTCCAAATGAGCACTGTACAATTCAACTCATTCCAATACATATGGCAGCACAGTGTCAGTAGGACTGGTTCCAAGCTCTCCTCCTTTTCCATGGCCTTTGTGGGTTAGGTGATGTAGACAAATACATGCCTGAGTGAGAGGAGGGCTCATAATCTCACTAACATGCCCAGTCTCAGCCTTGTTTCAGAAGACAAGCAAGGAACCAGATTCGAAGGACAGCACCAATGAAAGTGTAAAACCTCCTCACTTTCGCAATTCTCACATTTGCAATTTTTTCCCCATCAAGCTCCAAGGTGCATACACACAGGCTGGGGGAGTAACCAGAGTCCACAGCAAAGAGACAGGGGCACTTTTCTCTGTGTGGCACATCCCTTCATTTTGACACCTTCAGAACACAGGAGAAAAGCCAGATAGATCACATCCCAGAACCGAGGGTGTTTCTGCCACTGGCATGCAGCAGTCTCTCCATCCCCTTCCCCTTCAGTTTGCTTAATAACGGGGAGTGAAAAAGAGGCATCCAGCTGGTGGGCCATTGTTGTATCTCTTCATTTAAAGCAGCCTTGTAGAACAAGCCACAAGTCCAGGGCCATGCATGCATGCATGCAATTCAGTGCCTACAGAAGTCTTATTTCTGGACTGGGCTGAACCACTTTAGACTGCAGGTAGTGACTGACATAGTGGAACGCTCCCCCGTGATACGGGTTGAAGGAAACCATCTCCACAGTAGGAAACTAGTATAGAATTGGCATGAAATAGTGAACTAGTAGAGATGGTTAGGTGAATTTTTCTCCCTGATATCCGGAAATCTAAATGGGGAGGCTGTTACTTAGGGAGGATTCTGTGAGCCCCACAGGCAAAATTGGTATTGCTTAGATATGTTTTTGCCACCTCATTAGCAATAGCTGCCAAGATGAACATGAAGCTGGGGACAAGGGAGTTGCTCAGCCTTTGCCGTGCAGGAAGGGCACCTGCCATTGCAGGAGACAACTAGCATCAGCGTTCTGTGAGCAACCAGGCCCCTCCTGGTCTTCCAGCATGGGCTGCTCTGGGGTTCCCTTGCTCTTTGGGAGCACTGGCCTTTCCTTTGAGGAAGATGTCTCCAGCTGAAGGTATATACGCTGCCAACTGTCTATGAACTGTTTGTATTATGTACAGCAGAGTTGTTGTGAGGATAAAATGGGGTGCTGCCTTGGAAGTGGGACATTAACATAAATAACAATAAAAGACATTTTGAATCCAGGAGTGTCCTTTTCCAACTTATGCACAGTTCTCTCCATAATCATTATGATTATAGGGACAGAATGGGAAGGTTTAAATAATACCAGGTTGGGACCTGTGAAAGAGCATTGGACTGGAGAATGCCCAAAGTTCTTGGCTGAGAAGCCTGGAGATCTGCATTTGTCCTGCCAGCTAGGGGCTCCCAACCCCTCTTATACAGTATATATGATTTTGTTTGAAAATCTATTCCATTCACTTCACAATCAAGCCAAGGTTCTGTTATTATGTCATTAAGTGTCATCAAGTCACCTCCAGTATATATTGACTCTTTGAATTGAATGTCCTTCAAAATGCCCTGCCCTCGACAGCCCTTCTTAGGTGCTTCCCAAGGCAGACTCATTCTAATTCCTTACAATTTTTTTATTATTTTCTGTCTCAAACTTTTCAAGAACTGTTCTTTTAAAATACTTTTTATTTATCAATAAACAATACAATTTAAAAACCTAACTTATATCAAGCATGTTGTAATGACCTGGATATAGTAGTACAGATATATAAAACTGTAGGACTAAACTTTCTCTGGAAGGTCTACCTATCTCGATTTAACTAAGGGGTATTAATTAGGTCTGTCAAGATGGTGATATCTGATTGTGGAATTTTCACCCCCCCCCCCCGCCCCCATCACTCTGGCAAGCTGAAGAAAGGCAAGAATGCCTGCTCATGTAAAAATCACAGTCAGTTACACTGCTGCACAGAGTCCTTCATTCTTTGGTTATATTTTCTGATGAGGCAGTATCTCAAATTCCCAAATTCTCCTTTCACAGTTTTCAATTGGTCATGCTCATGTAGATTTCCAGACTGACATGATTTCTACACTTGTTGCAGTCCAGAATGTCAATAAATCCTTGTGCAGTAGCTGCTTGTTGCCACTTATAAAAAGAGCCAGAAGTCCCCATTTTGCTGTTTTTATATATGCTGATCTGTACCTTTTCTTGCCAGCTGAAATCCTTCTATCCAAAATTTCTTTATGACTTCACAATCCCACATGTGTTTATAAGTCCCTCTCGAGTCATGGAGGGACTTATAAAAATAGCTAAATTTTACTGGTGTAAGAGGCCACTTATATATTTTAATTACATTTTCCCTCAGCTCAGGTGAAATTGATTGGTATGGGGATAGAACCCTCAACGAATACCACCAAAGCTGATACTTAATTTTTTCTTCATACCTGCCTTGCATCATGTTAGTATCTCATTACTAGTACGATAAGCTTTTTGTATACTTGTGAGACACAACTTTTTGAGTTGGAATTAATTTATGTCAGTAGGAATTCAGTTGGGTAAAGCTTGTACCACCAGTGCTTTACTTCAGGAACTGAGGTAAAATGCATAATTTGGTCCAGTGGGAACAAGTTGTTTTAATTTCCCACAATTATTCATTTAATTGTGGTCAGTTTTTTGGTTCTAGGTCATTAAACATATCTTTCACTGAGTGCAAGTCCTGTGCCTCCCAGTTCTGAAACTGTGTAAATTTATTAGCATCAAAAGTAAGAGAGGGACCAGAAAAAGATTGGGGGTGAGGGAAGAGGGATAAATGTCAACCTTGTCCCTTTTTCCCCCTTTGCATCCAATATAGCAGTCAAGAGGGCATTGCCCTCAAGTAAAGCTGTATTGATGTTCCCTAGCATTGTGAAAGGTACATTCTTTAAGTCCTCTTTCCTATCCAGAGGTATTTCCATATGGATCCAAGTTTTGCTGGCATCATAGCATTCAGCATTTGTATGCTTTGAAATCTGAGCTTAATTTGAATATGCTAGTGTCCCACCGAATATTAAGTTGCAGTACATTTTCATCTTTTGGCCAGTTTTTGAGTATGTTGTTTGGAATGGTGATTGGGAGTGTTCAGAATACATAAGATAATTTAGGTGAGAGCCCCATTTTTATTGCTGCAATTCAACCCAGTCAAGATATCACTTACTGCCTCCAACTTTTTAATTTAGTTTGTTTTATTAATGGGAAATAGTTTAGTTTAACTATATTGTATAAGTCATTTGTTTTTTAGATTCCCAAGTATTTATCAAAACAGGTAGGTATCCTGGTAGCTGTGTCCAGGGTATTTTTCATAGTTAATATTTAAACAGAGGATATTGGACTGACTTAAATTCTTAGTTCTTCCTATCTGCCAGTCAGCTTCATAGCTTGTACCAATCTGGTAGGTGAATTTAGTAGTGTTGGGCTAAGTCCTCTGCAAAAAGGGGTCTTTTGTCTATTTGGACATTAGTTGTTATTTCCTTTATGTTTGTATTTTTGGGAATGTAAATAGCAGTGGGGCAAAAGACACCCTATTCTTTCAACATCCATGTCATTAGTTTGGATCATTGCTGTAATACTTCTTGCTAAAGTATCCAATAAATTTCTCTCCAGATTCCAAAAATTGAGGTATTTCATTTATTTATACATACATACATACATACATACATACATACATAGATGTATTTATAGGCCACCTATAATTGCCAAGTTCTTCCCAGGCGGCTTACAATAATAAACATAATACAGCCCCCATCCTAATTTGTAAAATATTTAGTGGCATCCAGGGAAGCAATCCTATGTGGCATGTTTCTCTTTTTTGAATCAGTGGTGAACTGCATTTAGTAACCTCCTTGAAATAGTTCTATTTTTAATAATATTGAACTGATTATTTTTAATATGCTCTGGAATTATTTCATCGACTCTTTCAGCTAAGATACTAGTAGAAGTATTGATTTAGAAGTATGATAGGCCTGAAAGAATGTATTTCCTCTACATTCTTTTGGGTTTGGAGATAAGTATTATTCTAGAGTTTTGCCAGGTCAGTGGCATTGAGTTACCTTCCATGATACCACTAATAAAATAATTAAATGGGGTGTTAGCAATTCTTTGTTTTCTAGGCATTCTCTGTAAAGACTTTACAGGCAAAGCTGGAGCTGAAAAGATGCCTGAATTTATTTAAATACTGTTTCTATTGAAATGTTGTGTTGCATTTTTCTATTTTACTGTAGTTGATCAATTCTTGTTAAGTATTCAGAAAGCTTTGGCTATATAAATCAAACAAATGAAAAGCAATCTGGATCCTGCCAATAGGGTTTCTCTAACTGACTTTTTAGTGAAGCATACAGTTCGGTGCTTTAGGCAGAGTCGCATTGCAGGTTTAGCTGCGGAGCTGGGTGAGCTGGTCTATAACCCTTCTTTCTATATTTATTTTGAGAAGAGGTTCTGCTAGCCAAGTTCTCAAGTTTCCAACCGTATCTTGGCTTTCCACAGCTTCCTGGATCTTTCCATTTGGGCAACTCCTGTGATTTTCAAGGTCCTCCATTTTTCTTGCAATTCTGCATTGGACCATATGAGCTTTGTCATTTTTTCCTCTGTCCTACATCTAAGTCTATAGCTCCAATTGTTTGTTTTGCAGCTATTCACTTGTTTAGAGACTTCATTAAATTGTACGTGCAGGGGAAGGATGACAGCAGACTTTTCTTGCGCCAGGCCTCATAATAGTTTTGCAGTCCAGGACCTTGCATCCTTACTAGGATTGCATTGAAGTTCCATGAAATCCAACCCTCTAGCATTTGTGACTTCATCTCATTTTTGGCCTGGTCTTAGAAAATGAGCTGAGCCGAGAGGAAGTCCACAAATACTCATGGAATGAAGGTTGTGCAACCAAGAAACCTTCTTCTGCATCATGTGCCACAACACATGCAGCACAAACAAAGGCTGTTGCATGTGCTATGAAAAAGGGTTACCACTTGGTTTTGCAGAGCTTGTGAACTTGGCAAGCTGGGAACTCAGACTTAGAGCTTCAACAAAGAAGGCTGGAATCTGGGGATCAGAGCCCAAGGAATCTGACAGATCCCCATTCCCAAAACAGATTCCTCACATGTCTCTAGGTCCTCCCCACATTTATGTGACTGGGTCCCATTGTTGAGCCTTTGGCTGCTTCAGTTCCTGGGCTTTTTAAAGATAACTTATTTTAGTTGCAGAGTTATCGCTCTTCTAGGCTCCCTGGTGTTCCAGAAGGCATTGCCAGTTTTTCTTGCTTATCAAATGAAAATTTTGTTTAGCTATTGTGCTAGAAAAACTATAATTTGCATCGGAGGATAGGTATGTAGTCTTGGACTTAGAAGAGCAATGATGAAAGAGCTAGAAAAGATGATCAAGTAGAAGGACATTCCACTGGAGACCAAGGCCAACATCATCCACACTGTTGTATTCCCAGGCACTATGCATGGGTGTGAAAGTTGGACAGTGAAGAAGCTGACAGGAAAAAAAAAAGAATTATAGTGTTTGAAACATGATGTTGAAGGAGGGCTTTCCAAATACTCTGAACTGCCAGAAAGATGGATAAGTGAGTCCTAAATCAAATCAAGACAGAACTTTCCTTGGAAGCAAAAGAAACTGTCATGAGAAGGCAAGACAAGATGATGACACTAGGGAAAGTCCAAGGCAGAAGAGGAAGACCAAATCTGAGATGGTTTGACTCTCATAAAGGAAGCCACAGCTTTTTGTTTACAGGACCTGAGCAGGGTGTTTTGGAGGCCATTCATTCATAGGATCACCATAAGTCAGAGACAACTGGACAGTATGTAACAATCCTATGCATATTTAGTCAGGAAAAAAAGGCCTACAACTCCCAGCATGATCCAGCCACCCACAGTTACCTTATATTAGGACCACATAGAGCCACTGTAGACCCCCAGTGAAACCCTGCCATGCCCCAAAATTGAGGGAGACCCAAAAAGAATCTTTAAAAATCTCTCTTTCTGGCAAAATTTGAGGGACATTGGAACGAGTTAATTTCTTATTATATCTTTATAATGTATGACTTTGGGTGCTTTGTAGCAGCTCTAGACACTAGTTTGGGGCTGCAGTTCATGGGGGAGGAGATCGGGGGGTAAAAGTGTCCCTCAGACTTCCCATACCCTTGTTTTAAAAAATGGGACTCCAACTGGGACTCTGGCTCAGAGGTTTTCTAGAACAGTTACGGAAATTTTGGTAATTGGACATTGATACAGCTGTGGAATCCTAAGAAATACTTGAAGCTCAAATCTTAACAAACTTTGGTTTACAGAAACATGGCATTTCTCAGCTTCTGCCAATCTAGTCTGATGGATAGCTGCTATATTCATTTGCATTTTTAAAACATCTGCAGTTGTTTGGCAAAAGGAAACTGATTGCTCTCATAGGTGCCACTGGGATTGAAGATCGCCTGCAAGATGGTGTTCCAGAAACCATAGAGGCACTCCACAAAGCAGGAATTAGCATCTGGATGCTGACAGGTGATAAGCGTGAGACAGCCGTCAATATAGCGTGTTCCTGTAAATTAATAAATCCAGTTGATCAAGTCTTCACCCTCGCAGCTGATAGTCTGGTGCGTGTGACAGTTGGTTTTCCATAGCAGTATTTTACCACAGATAAAGGAAAGTGTATTAAAGATAGATTAAGGGACTGAAGGTCACGGTGATAGCTAGGATATGGCCCTGTTTGCACCAGAAAATGCCCAAAGCAGTTATGCCCACAGGCCTACTTTCCCTGGCTTCAGAGACATCATTTTGTGTACAAGGAAGCTTGTCTCTCTCTGTATCCCACCCCATGCTGCCACCGCATTTCGTTAGAAACAAAAATTCCATCTCAGACTGCTCATTTGTGGAGGGGAGGGAAATCTCCTTTCTTAAAAACAAAAATCTGCATTTTTTTGTTAGACGGACTTTGCAAATTCAAAAAAATTGCATTTTAAAACAAAAATTTGCATTTTTTGTGAGATGAACTTTCACACATGCACATTACATTAGTAAAATAGTTAATGAATGTGACAGCTAATGTACTACAGAAGTGAAGAGAGTGAGCCAGGAAGGTCTTAGATAAATCTGTCTGGGATCAGGCATGAATTCAGTTCATAGCCTTATGTCGATGCCTTATGTCAGACATTCTTAGTAGCTCAGTACCTGCAGTATGGGGCAAAAATAGCCACCTACTGTGTTACCAAAGTTCCTGGCATCATCACTTGAAGTGTTTTACACTGTCAGACTAGAGTATATCAGAGTTACCAGTCCTGTGCTGGTAGATGTGCTGTTGGTCTACTATTCCCACAGCTGGCATGCCCAGGAGGACACCAAAGTGGAGAAGATGCTGTGCCATATAACTGCTTGAAACTAAATGTCCTGCACAATCATTCTTTCATTTGCGGCTCTTTGTAGCTTGTTCACATCATAATTGCCTTGGGTAAAAAGTTGACACACTTTAACATGTTGTTAAAATACTTTCAGAAGCTAGATGCTAAATTATCAGCATGCAGATGGCAGACTACAGAGCTCGGTCTTGGAAATATGAGCAAATTTATTTTGATAGCTTCTCTTTGTTATATCTTCCTGGAGCCCTGCTTGATTGCCATTAATGTTCTAAGAATTATCTCATTAAAATGGCATTACATATGGTATTCCAGAAAATTAATCTACTTACATTTTCTAATGAAGCAAAATCTTGAGTGTTTTTGTGTTCTCTGAAAATATTCAGTGAAGAAATTGTGTTACAAGAGAAGCCAGTTGCTTTTTGTATGCTGATTATGCACTCTGGTGGAAATATTTTTATAATATTCTCTTATTCAAAACATTGTCATGATTGTTAAAGATAGTTTTTAGAAAATAGGGAGTGAAAATATACTTTCTTTCCTTTTTTATTTTTAAAAAAGGAGTTTCGAAAGAATAAATGTAAGATGGTAGAAGCGGTTATTGTGTTGGTCAGAAATTCAGGTCTTTGTTTACCTAGATGACTCACCAGAAGAGTGATGAATCAGTGGAGTAACACTTCAAAAAGATCAGCTAGACAATGCAATGTTTCTTTTAAGTGTGGTACCATAGCCACATTTTAATTAAAATTTTAGAAAAGCTGATTTTGAAGTACAACATTATGCTAGATTTTGAAGTACAAACACCTGCAGACATTATGCTGTAGTCAAGTCACTGTGAATTACTACCATGTAACCTTCTGCAGAGCTCTCATTCATTTCAGAAGGACATGAATCAATCAGCTCCCAGAAATTCCTCACAATCCTTTTTTTTTTTTACAGAAGCTATGCAAGAGAGGTTCCAGGTGCTTTGTGCCTTGTATTAGTAGGTTTTCTAAATACACACACACACACACTCACACTCCTGCATTTCTGCATATTCAGCATCAGTTCATAATTCAACACCTTCCAAAAATCAGATTTTTTAATAAAAAAACTGTTCACAACTAAAGGCTTCCTGTCCCATGCTAACTAAAAACTGTGTAGCTCATTTGCTAAACATTAAATACAGCCCTGCCCATGTGACAGTTGGTTTGGAGGTCATGATAAACCACTATTGATTATGATTTGAACAAGCCATCACTAGCCCTGATCTCATGCACTCACTTCTTCTCTGAAACAGCTATGAGAAGGAGGTTAGAAACTCTCCTTTCTATTTATTTAATTGCAGGGTATTATTTAGTCTGAACTCAACAAGCTATGGTTAATCTTAACTATGGTTTGTCTGAAACCAGCCCAGCTTTAATCCATAGATTATGCAGGCTGCTTGTTTCCACTAACCATAATCAAGATTAACCAAAGTTTACCATTTGAACATGAGGCTACATTGTGATTAATAAAATATAAAATCAAGCACTTCTGGTCTCACATCAAAAGACAAGAAGGCAGAAGGGCATACAAGGGCAGGGGCTTGTTGTGAGCTGCCCAGACAGCCCATGGCTAATGGAGTAGCATACAAATTAAAGAAAGAAAGCAACCATTGTCTATTGTGATGTTAACTTTTTCTCTAATACTCTCATACACCTTTTGTAAAGCATACTTTTTCCACTGAAAGTTAAAAATGGTTCGTCATTCTGGTTATATATGCAACTCATGTATACATGAGAAACTGTAACATCCATTCAGTCATTGTCTTAAAAGTGGTGCTGTAAAGTGCACTTGCAAAAACAAAACTAAACCAAGATTTTTAAAAAACCATCTTACCAATTTTCTTTTCCAAGCAGCATGATTGTGAAAACACGATAGACAGCATTTTAGAAGACATCGGGGCAACTCTTGATTCTAGTGAAAGGCATGACACACATACCTTGAGAGTCCGCATGGCTTCAGTAACTCACAGTCTCCAGTCCAACTTTGTACTAGTTACAGATGGATCAACATTAGAATTTGCTTTGCACCAAAGACTGCAGAGTAAGTTTCTGCGGCTCACTCAATTGGTCCATGCTGTCATCTGCTGCAGAGCAACGCCACTGCAGAAGGGCCAATTAGTGAAGCTGGTCCGAAAGCAGCTGAAGGTGATGACACTGGCTATAGGTGAGTTTTTTCCTTGCTTTGAAAGGAAGCAGCATATAGGCTTACCTTTATTTTTCCTTTCAAGCACGTTGATTAGTTTCCCCTTCAAACAATACTGACACAAACCAGCAGACAAAAGGACTTGGTTGATGAGTATGTGTGAAAGAGTATGCTATTGGCAGGACAAGGCATTTGGAGGCAGGCCCCTGTCCTTCCCCCTGCCCGCTTTACATTACCTTGTGAAACACGATGACATTGATGGCTCTTGAACCCCTCTGCTGCGGCTCCGTCGCTCAAAACATGCGCTGGCCCAGCGGCTGGTCTGCTCGAAGCTCCACTCGAACGCAGCGCTAGCTAGTTAAGAAAATCAGCTAGTTAAGTAAAGCGCTACATTCCTCTGCTAAACAAGCTTCCTGCAGGCTCTCATGTTACACGAAACGAAATGCTGCTGAAAGGATTCTCTTTGTCCCAATGTAATCTCCTTCATCTGAATGTTAAAAGCTGTGCTTAGGACCTGTCACAATTCACAGCACTTGTCTGTTTATCTGATAATCAGTCACTAAACACACCCATATCTCTGGCACAGCCTCCCCCCCCCCCCGATCTGTGGACCCACGCCGATTTACTGAGCTCCCCCCCACTCAGGCCGACCATGGATAAATCAAAGGCAAGAAAAGTTTCTGAAGAAAACCAAATGTTTGATGATACGTGGTTAAATTCATTTGCTTTTACTGCTGACAAACTTATGGGGTTTGCTGTTTAATGCATGCAGTCCTTTAGCACTGACTTTGACTCTTCAGGAAGCTGTTCTCCTATTCAAACTATATGAACGGAGTCCTACTAGTTTATAATGTAAGATTAAAAATAACCATTTTTAGTGACTGAACAAGAGCTGCAGCTAAATCCTAATGAAGATATACATAGCATTAAGGTAAAAAACAATATATGCAGTGTTATCTTCATTTTAGATGTCAAAAGGGTTTTGCGGTTCCCGGTGTTTTCTTTTGTGTGGGAAATGGGTCCAAATGGCTCTTTGAGTGTTAAAGGTTGCCGACCTCTGGTGTAGCATAACTGATTATTATTGTGGCAGTTAATGTACAGTTTTGCAGCCACTTCCAATTGAGTGGCACTTCTACTCAAGACTGGCACTGCCACTTTCCACTGAAGTCACAAGGAAGCTTTCTTGTCTAGGGCCTCTGTGTACATCAAGATGAATCCAGAATTCTAATTCAGAGTAATAATGGCCACATTTGCATATCCTGCTAAACTATGCACAGGTGAAGAGCAGCTTCAGACACTTCTGTTTTTAGTTAATTGTCATATTCTGTGGACTTGGAATTGAGATTTATACTCACTATGGTTTGTTTCAACAACCCAGCTTTATAACCCATGATTTGAAGTTGACCGATTTCAAACCAACCTCAGCTAGTGTTGAGCAAAGTTTGTTATGCTGGATGACATGACAAAGAAAAACATCTAAAAGTAATGTCTTCTGAACTTTTCCTCCCAGCCTTTCTCCAGAGGGGCCCACACAGAGGGGTTGGGGCCCAGGGTTACTGAAAAGAAGGAATTTTGGAAGTAGTTGCTAGTTTGAATCCAACTAATCACTTTGTTCATTCACAGAGACTTGTCTTTCAGTGGCTATAGTTTTTCAGCTGTGAACTGGAAATACAGTTATTTTGCAAGGAAAATTATCTGTTGCTTGAAACAACTAAGGGGAAACCCAGCTCCTGACACCCTCCTCTTGCATGTGGCATTGATGACTGAAAATAGCCATGTAACAGAAATGCAGAGCATGGAGCGTGGCGAGACAAAGGTTGTTTCACACGTGTGTTTTCAAACATGCACATTTTTAATGCATTCTTTCTCGCACGGATTGCATCAAAAGCTGAGAAATCTATAAACTTTGACCACCACTTGTTTCTGGATCAGCATCCAGGGCTTAATTATACAAACAAATAATTAAGTTCTAGACTTGAGGAAATTTGAGTCAGAAATGAACCAAAACTAATTTCTCATCCTAAGATTTAACATCTCCTTGGTAGCAATTTGGAGCAGAGAAAGGATGGGCAGGAAAACAGTCAAATGCTTCCTTCCCACCCTGCTCCTGTTACTTGTACAAAGGTAATAGAGGAAGGGCTTTGTTCCACATGTTTGATAACGGGTCCTTTGACCCTGCACAAGCATAGACTGTAACCTTTGCTTTTCATTTGCTTGAGAAATGGCAGGTGTCTGGCTAATTAATGCTTCCTACTGCTTTTGTATTCTGCTTAGCCAAGTCACTGTTCAACAGATACTTGGGCTAGAATCTGAGATGCCCTGTTTGAAAGCCAAGCATATTAAAAAGGATCTTTGCATTTAACAAGTAGCTCTTAAAAAAACAAATGGCGTCAGTGGAGGCTGGGGGTTGATAGTTATTGCCCAATACAAGGTGCCTTTCCAATGGAAGTACATCTTCAGAGGGAAGATTTCTCTCATGAAGGAGCAGGAGAGGAGGGAATTGATTTGGGCATTCAGCCTGGCACATGCACACACACCTGCGTAGCCTCTGTACAAGGATGGGACTGGTGGGACCATCTGCTCATGTTACAAGGTGGGCAGCTGCTCTAGAGAGCCCCGCCAGCACAGCTGTCCTGCTGCAGCAAACACCGTGCTTCTTACATCAAGTCTGGTATGGAGCATAGCCACTCGCGGTAATTTCATTGTAAGGTGCTCTTTTTCCTTCTCTTGGAAGGTGATGGTGCCAACGATGTTAGCATGATTCAAATTGCTGATGTTGGAATTGGAATCTGTGGCCAAGAAGGCATGCAGGTAAGATGGGCTGAGAAATCAGTAACTGGAAGCAGTGTTGCCTGTAGAACAAAAGCCGTGCTAATGACATAGTGGATGGGCCCGCAGGACACACTAAACCTGTTGGGCCAATAAACCACACATGGTGTATTTCTTTGCAGGAGCATCCAGGAGACAACCGGCTTCCCTTCTGCTTGTAGTTCCCTGCCTTCTCTCCACTTCCCTTTCAAACCTCCAGTGGATGATGGCACATATCCCTGGTGTCTTATCAGCAGAAGCATTGTCCTCTGGTGGCTTGTGCTGCCACTACATCATCAGCTTTTTCCTCATTAGTCCACTGGTGCTACATCACCCTCTTTTTCCTCATGAGTCTACCTCAGCTACATTTTTCTGTTGAGCCATTTTGGGACCAGAGGGTGTTTATGCTTTCCCCAATCCTCTCCTACCTGCCACCCATTTCCTCCCCACAAATCTCCACATTCATATGGCTGGCAATCTTCTCTCAGTCCACTTTAATCCCTGTATCTTGTGGTTTCTGCTGTGCTCATCCATGTGCCATGGTCAGGTCCTGACAATGCCAGTGTTTTCCCTCCACTGGGACCTTCCTGCCTCTACCGCCTGTCTGTGCTCCCAAACCGAAAGAGCCCAAAACCTTGCCAGAACAACAGAAAGGTTTTCTTCCCATTTGTCCCTCCAGCTGCCCATCTGAAGTGGGAGAAAAGGATTTCCCCATCCTCCCCATTTCCTCCTTATAGGCAAACACAAGGGAGACCAGCTTGCACACAGCTCTGCCCTGATAAACTTGTTATGAGTCACCGTTTCATTAAATGTCTTCTTCGGGGCATGCATTTTCTTTTCATTACATTGTGTGGTCCTGCATCTGAAGCCCCAAAGCAACAGCTGCTCAGAGACCAAGGAAAGAAATCATGCTTGGTCTGTGAAGGATGCCCTGGGCTTCTGGGCTGATCCGGAGATCAATGGAAGTGCCATTTCTGCCTTAGCCAATTAATACACCTGCACTCTCACATATTGCTTTGATCCCTTCACCTCAGCCTCTTCCCCTTCTGTGCCTTGTGCCAAACCCTGTAAGGGTTGGGGGGATGGGGGTAGGCTGGGTGCTAGGCTTCTGTGAAGAGCAAGGGGGAGGACTATCAGCAGGTGCCATACAAGCACCCAAGAAAAACAGCTACTAAAATAGCTACAGGAGCCACTTTGGAGTTCTAAACAAGCTCCAGTGCAGGTGTGGATATGTAGAGAAACAGGCGATGCATGGTGGGAACAGTATCCACGAACCCCCCAAAGGAGCCAGGGTTGCCCTTCAGTTGAACTCATGGAGACCATTGAGGGAACAGGGGGCAAACAATCTGGAAGAAGCGCTTTCATACGTACACCAACTTTGTGAGGCCGCTGAGAATATGAGGGTGCACCTCATTCACAGTTTGGGTCTGGGATCTAAGGAAGAAAATAGAGTCGGTTGGAGAAAGGCAGCATCCAAACTGCAAATAGATTTACACAAATCAAGCGCCTTCAAGGCTGGTGTGCAGGTAATATGGAGCTGGAGAAAAGTGATTTCTGGAGGAAGACTTTGCTGAGAGAAGTGAGTAGAGGCAGGCATGCAGGAGGAGTAACATGGGAGGGCTGATGGCAGACATGGGTTGCCACAGTGCAATCAGTTGCTAGGTAGAATTTGGGAAGGAGGGCAGGCTTCAGTAGGTGCAGCATCATCTGTTGCTAGGGAAGCAAGTTGGCCTGTGAGAACAGGAGTGATGGCAGGTTTTGGCTGCCTGTACTGTGTGGCTTGCTAGTGGTCACCTCGAGACACAAGGAAACTAGCATTTGGCTTGAGGTGACATGATAAGCTATGGAAAGCTACAGAAACCACACAACAAGCCATGGCTTTGTGGGGTGGCTTTGTGTGTCATGTGAACAAAGTCAATTGGGATTGGGATCAGAAGGTGAATATGGAATACTTGAAACTCACCCTGGGTCAATAATATTTATCTTCTGGAAATCAAAATACCACAATATTATGCAACTGTCAAGTTTCAAGGGTTTTGAAAACCATCTCTTCCATGCTACACACTACAGTGGTACTTCAGTTCACGAACACTTCTGTTTACAAACAATTCAGAAAGTTTGGGAAAACTCCGCATGGGTTGACAAACACTTCCCCACAGCACTTCCCGCAGCTTTCTTGAGATATCCTATCCGGGGGGGGGGGGGAGCAGGAGGCTGGAGAGGCGGGCACAGGGCAGCTCCCCCAGCCGGGAGAGGGCTGTGAGGAGGGAGGTAAAGGCTGCTTTCCGCAGGCCGAGGTGAGGGGAGGCGAGGGATGGGGCTGCGACCGCCCGAATGGGGCACCTCCCGCCTCTCCCCGTTATGGGGGGGGAAGAAGCATGGTGGCCACTCAACAGTGGCAGCGGATTGCTTTGAGAAGGCCGTGGCAGAGGCACAGGAGCCTCGGCCCCACTCCTGCTCTGCCTTGGCCCATCCGCCCCCTGGCTTGGCAAGGAGGCTGCAGCTTGGCCCACAGCCCAGGGACATGGGTCATATTTTTGTGGTTTTTTTAAAAAATGGATTAACCATATTACATTGAACGTTATAGGGAAATTTGATTCAGTTCACAACCAATTTGGTTCACAACCAGAATTGAGGACTGAAATAAGTTCGTGAACCAAGGTACCACTGTATTAGATTTTAAGAAATCAAACTATGTGTTAGAAGAAGGTGCTTGGAAATCAGAGGATTCACAGCCATGGTATCTTCATGGGATGCCTTCACTAAAGCAGGCTCAGCTGGATATCTAAGATTTGTAAAGATGATTTACTGAGGTTTTTTTAGTGGTTGCAGCATGGGAGGAATTTCTAATTTGTTAGGTACCAAGATATATATTGACATTCAGTCAGAAGTACAGAGGATGGGTTAACTGCTGACGAATAAATCACTGAATAATGAAGATTCAACGAAGGCAAAGAGATTGGGGCAAACCTAGGGCAGACCACTGTGGCAGAGCATAGAGCAAAAATAAGGATTTGGCTCATCACCAGTGATAGAGCCTACATGGAGCTTTATTTTGCAACCGGCAATGGGAAGTCATAAACAAGAGATACAAAATTGTGCTTGTGGGATAGAGAGAAAATGGAGAGGGAGAATTTTTCTGCCTCTCATAGTGCTAGAAACAATAATCATCTCATGAAGCCATATTGGGGGAGATTCATGACAAATAAAAATAAGTATTCTTTCATAGAGTGCACAGTTAAACTAGGGGATTTGCCAGCCACCAAAGTTCCTGGCTTTGAAAGACAGTTATATCTTACCTCCAGCATCAAGCAATGTGCTTCTGTATACCTCTGTACAGCAGTTGATGGGAACATAAGTGGAAAGGTGTTACTGGACCCTTGTCCTGGGTGTTCCAACGATTCCAGTTGACTTCACAGAAAAGGATGGACCCTTAATGTGATCCATACTCAATCAAAGTCAGTGAAAGTCTTAACTATGTAACATCTCCTTGGTTGCAGTATTTTATTCCCTTTGTTTATTTTCAGGCTGTGCTGGCAAGCGATTTTGCCATTTCTCAGTTCAAACATCTCAGCAAGTTGCTCTTGGTTCATGGTCACTGGTGTTATACTCGACTGGCCAACATGGTCCTTTACTTTTTCTACAAGAATTTGGTATGTCACTACCTGGGATGCCATGATGACTTTGAGAGTGTGAAAGAACAGATCCTCAATACTTAGAAATACATAGAAGAGGCTGGTAAATTCTGTATTCAGAGTCTGGCAGCTGAAACTGAGCCTGCCCATCTGTCGCTGGGTTAAGGATCAGTGCTCCCGAGGCATTTACAATCTATTAAATATAGTCTGTGCCAAAAAGCTATCTGTCAGCGTTAATGAGAGATTGTGACAGGTTGGCTCCATTATTGAAACCTGAAAATTATCAAAGGATCTTTTTATGTCGTTTCTGTCTGGGGAAGTGTCTGGAACAGACTGGTCTTGCCAGCTGCGATGAAGCACTTGAACTTCTGGGTTTTCTTCTGAGCAGTGAGAACTCAGGAAGAGCCTCAGCATGTTACAAATTTGGGATGGAGGCAACAGCTAACCATGTAGTTTTCTCAAAAATAAAAAAAGGTGTTTCATAGGGAGGGCTGATTATATGTCACCTCTAGCCCTGGAAAAGGGGTGTGTGCTACCATTTTCTTGCATCCCTGCAATCCAAGTATGGTGCCCATGGATTACCACTCCCTTAGTCACCTCCCATGCTCTTCTCCAGGCTCTGTTCCTCCTGATTTTTCTTTTATTTCTTTGATTTTGTATTTTTTAAAAACTGGGATGCTGATATGCTACAAAGCAAAGCTCCATCCTCCAGCCCCATCTGTATTTGGGTTCCAAAGGGGGGCAGGTGTTGCTTTTGGTTCTCAGGTTCTACCTCTGCTTATACTTAGATTCTTGGGAAAGTTACTTGTCTTTTTGTCTCACCATTTGCCTTCTGAGAAATGAGTATTTAGCGAGTAGCCATGTGCATTATGGAAACCAGCTTATGAATGAACAAGATCCTATGGGCTTCATTTGTGAGAGCACCCATGACACATGTTCAGTGTCAGATGTACCTACTGCTCCAAAAAGGTTGATACCCCACAATAAAACTTTTCAGGAAATCAGGGGTAGTATAAAATTCAGCTTACACGTGGCTGGAGACTGCCTCAATTGGATTTACCATGTATCATGTTTTTTTACACAGCTACCACAAGGATATCTGTTGCCTTTTTCAAGACTCACACTACTTTTACACTGGGCTGTCAGGACTTCAGCAAAGGATCTTAGGAGTTGAAAAATATGAGAAATTTCCTGTTCTTAGTACTATTCCAGAGCTTTTAGCCTGTGAACTTGACCACTAAATGTGTAGCATTATCATATTACATTCTTGTGGGATACTGTAAGGATTATTTGACTTTCAGCACACACATCCCAACAACAAGAACAATACTGGCTTCTATTAATAGATGTTAACCTTTAATTCCTGTTCCTTCCCATAACAGGCATATGTAAACCTCTTGTTCTGGTTCCAGTTCTTCTGTGGGTTTTCAGGAACCCCCATGACTGACTACTGGAGTTTGATTTTCTTCAACCTTCTCTTCACATCAGTACCACCCATCATTTATGGTGTTTTAGACAAAGATGTCTCTGCAGAAATGCTTTTACGTATGCCAGAACTTTACAAAGTTGGTCAGAGAAATGAGGTATTTCTTGACTTGGCACAAGTACTTGAAAGTTGAAATGACTTGAATGTTCTTGCTTATATATACCTTGCCAGTTGAATCTGAATTTTAATATGCATTCCCTGTTGTTAAATAACCTAATGGAGATGTGCAGCTGAAAGGCATTATTGTTTCCTGGGCTGCCAGCAAATGAATGTAGGTGGCCTTAGAAGGGTAGCATGGGTTATATAGGAGTCAGCCATTTGGCAGATCAATTGCTGGCTACAATCACATTGACTGCTGTTGCTTATTTGTGTTTCTGTGCCATGTTGAGGGAAGCCTCAGCAAAAATGTGGGCCTCATTATATACTGTGTGCTAGACAGACATACCGTAAAATCCAGCCTGAAACTCTCAGGGGGGCGGGGGGACAGGTGCTACAGGCTAGGTAAACAAGACGATCAGGAAGGGAAATCTGAAGTGAAAGGATTTGACCAGTGTGGCACAGCAGAGCAGCTTTAGTGGAAGATGGAACATGGAACCTCTGAGTACCACCAGTATGTATGTATTTCCCCACGTGGGCCTCATGGGAGCATCCTCTGCACTTCTTAATTACAAGCACCACCGTTGGACTGGTTCCTTGAAAATGAGGATGCCTCTCACTGGATCAGTTTTGGTTGATGAGTTCAGGGAAGTTTAAGCTTTTTCTCACTGGACTGTGATTGAGATCTTGGACAGTGATGCTGTCTGTGCTTGCCCAAGTGTCACTTTTGAAATTTCATTAGAGAGCAGTTCAGGCATCTGAACATGCAGATAATTCAAAATTACTTGAATCTGTAATGCCCAAAGCTAAGATGCATTCCTCCTGTGTTTCCTTTTCAGCCATATGTGAAATCAGCCTTTGCAGTCAACTTGCTGGATGCTTTTTATCAAAGCTTGATTTGCTTTTTTATCCCTTACTTTGTAAGTATTAGCACTTTCCCCTCTGCATTGTCTCTGTTCTTGTACATTTGTGTTAAAAACAAGGCGAAGCCACACTTCTCTATTACTTGAAACTTGATTATTCACACGAATAATCATTCAAATTTTGTATGTGAAAACCCAACCAGTAGGTGTATAATTCTTAATGCAGTCTGTCTTATGGACTTTTTAAGGAATATAGACACAGAATTCAACCAAGTTAAATAATTGTTCCTCTGCAGACCCTCCGTAATTCTGATGTAGACATCTATTCCTTTGGATGTCCTATGAACACTGCCATGTTCTTTATCATAGTACTACACCTCCTGATTGAAAGTAATTCTTTGGTGAGTAAATTATTTATTGATCTAAGGTTGATTTATAATATTATTAAACAGTGTCTAATCACACCATTTATTAACTCACAGGTCACATACACACAGAACAGGAAGCCAGGATTCACCAGTACCCTTGCTTATCACAAACAAGCTGTGTGCTGGTGTATGCATTCAATCCATTTCCTTCTACTGGCTTTTCCCTCTGGTATATGCAGCAAAAACAGAGGTGGAGAACATCAGGCTTAGGTGCCCCAATCTGGCCTGCCGGGGGTCCCAATCCAGCTGCCAGGGCAGGGTTGGGATGGATCCTTTCTAAATCTGTCCCTCCTGGATCTTCAGACTTCCTGTTATGCTCGGCACACTCATGCAAAATGAACCAAGCTGATAGGAAGGCTGTGAACACTCGTGGATCCCTGGTTACACCACCAGCAACCTGTCCTGCCTGTTGCTGCTGGCAGTAGCAGGTGGAGAAGGGCGGTCGCAGCCAACGATGCCCCGTGCGCTGTCACTCTGCCACACTGTTGCCGGCAGTAGTGGACAAGGATGCAGGCCAGCCACTTTAAAGGTCACCTGGTGTGTGTGCTTGCAGCACTGCTCTTCCACGCCACCACCAGAGCAGGCAAGGAAGCATGTGGCTGTGAGCACATATGCCAGGTGCCATTTGCAGCAACCAGCCTTCCTCCCCACCTGCCCCTGCAAGCAGCAGCAGCAGCAGTGCAGAAGAGCAGCGCTGCCAGTCCATGCACCAGGTGCCATCTGTGGCAAACAGGTTTTTCACCTGCTGCCACTAGCAGTGGTGTCAGTGGGGAACTTGATTCCTGGTGAGCGTCCTGCAAGTGCTTGCCAGCAACTCAGACTCTGGACGACAGCAAAGCAGACCAGAACCCAGGCTGCCAGACTCAGGAAATCCAAGAGATGCCACAGATGGCCACACGCATCCCCGCCAGCTACTAATGCTAGGTAATTGGTGTCCATGGTTCTATAGAAGGACCTCTATAGAAGTCCCATTACTGACACACCAAATACAGGCATACCTCATCTTATTGTGCTTCACAAACAGTGCGTTCTTGACAAATTGAAGGTTTATGGCAGCCCTGCATCACGCAAGTCTATTGGTACCATTTTTCCAATAGCATTGCTCGCTTCATGTCTCTGTGTCACGTTTTGGTAATTCTCACAATCCTTCAAACTTTTTCATTATTATGGTATTTGTTGTAGTGATCTGTGATCTTTGATGTTACTACTGTAATTGTTTTGGGGCACCACAAACAACATCCATGTAAGACAGCGAACCTAACCAATAAAAGTGTGTGTTTCGACCACTCCACTGACCATTCTCCTATTCTGAGACACAACAACATTGATATTAGGCCAATTAATAACCCTACGATGGCCTCTAAGTGTTCAAGTGAAAGGAAGAGTCACATGTCTCTCATTTTAAATCAAATGCTAGAAATGTTTAAGCTTGGTGAGAGGAAGGCATGTCAAAAGCTAAGATAGGCTGAAAGCCAGGCCTCCTGCACCAAACAATTAGCCAGATTGTGAATGCAAAGGAAAAGTTCTTCAAATAAACTAAAACAGCTACTCTAGTGACAACATGAGAAACAGCCTTATTGGATATAGATAAAGTTTTAGTGGTCTAGATAGAAGATCAAACCAGCCAGAAAATTTCCTTAAGCCAAAGCCTAATCCAGAACAAGACCCTAACTCTCTTCAATTCTATGGAAGCTGAGAGAAGTGAGGAAGCTGCAGAAGAAAAGTTTGAAGCTAACAGAAGATGGTTCAGGAAGTTTAAGGAAAGAAGCAATCTCCATAACATAAAAGTACAAGATGAAGTGGCAAGTGCTGATGCAGAAGCTCCAGCAATAACAAGTTAAGATAATTAATGAAAGTGGATACACTAAACAACAGATTTTCAATTTAGACAAAACAGCCTTATATTGGAAGAAATTGCCTTCTAGGACTTTCATAGCTAGAGAGGAGAAGTCAATGCCTGCCTTCAAAGCTTCAAAGGACACGCTGCCTCTGCTGTTATGGGCTAATGCAGCTGATGACTTTAAGTTGAAACCAGTGCTCATTTACCATTCCAAAACTCCCAGAACCCTTAAGAATTATGCTAAATCTTCTCTGCCTGTAAATGGGACAACAAAGCCTGGATGACAGCACATTACTGTTCGTTGACAGTGCTCCTGGTCACCCAGGAGCTTTGATGGAGATATACAATGAAATGGTTGTTTTCATGCAGGCCAGCACAACATCCATTCTGCAGCCCATGGATCACGGAGTATTTTTGACTTTCAAGTCCTACTATTTAAGAAATACATTTTCTAAGGCTAGCTGCCATAGGTAGTTATTCCTCTGGGATGCATCCCCAGTGATGCATCTGGGGAAAGTACACTGAAAATCTTCTGGAAAAGGTTCTACATGTCATTAAGAACATTTGTGATTCATGGGAAGAATCAGCAAATTCAAACTCCTATTAATATCAACCTTAACAGGAGTTTGGAAGAAGTTGATTCCATCCCCATAGATGACTTTGAGAAGTTCAAGACATCAGTGGAAGAAGTAATTGCAGATGTGGTGGAAATAGCAAGAGAACAAGAATTAGATGTAAAGCCTGAAAATGTGACTGAATTGCTACAATCTCATTATAAAACTGTGATGGATGAGAAAGCTGCTTCTTATGGATGAGCAAAGAAAGTGGTTTCTTGAGATGGAGCTGCTCCTGGTGAAGATGCTGTGAAGATTGTTGAAACAACAACATAGAATTTAGAATATGAAATAAACTTAGGTGATAAAGTGGTGACAGGGTTTGTGAGGATTAACTCCAGTTTGGGTAAAATGCTATCCAACAGCATCATATGCAACAGAGAAATCTTTCATGAAAGGAAGAGTCACTTGATGCGGCAACTTCAGTTGTCCTATTTTAAGAAATTGCCACAGCCACCCCAACCTTCAGCAATGACCACTGTGATCAGTGAGCAGCCACAAAAATCAAGGCAAGACCCTCCACCAGCAAAAATATTACGACTCACTGAAGGCTGAGCGAATGGTTAGCATTTTTTAGCAATAAAGTATTTTAATTAAGGTATGGACATTCTTTTTTTAGACATAATGCTATTGCAAACTTAATAGCTAGAAGAGATAAGAATGCCTTCTTATATGAACAGTGCAAAGAAACAGAAGAAAACAATAGAATAGGAGGACCAGAGATCTCTTCAAGAAAATTGGAGATATGAAGGGAACATTTCATGCAAAGATGGGCATGATAAAGGACCAAAATGGCAGGGACCTAACAGAGGCAGAAGAGATTAAGAAGAGGTGGCAAGATTACACAGAAGAACTATACAAGAAAGAGCTTAACATCCCTGATAACCACCCCATCGTGGTTATCAGGGATGTTAAGCTCTTTCTTGTAT